CCCCCCCCCAAAAACCCGACTAATAAGCGAAGCTACGAGACAGCAAAAGACGAATTCGAAATCGCCACCGAAAGCACGGATGCGGCCACGATCTACGCGGCCTCGGACCGGGAGGCGGCGCGCGACGCGCTGAACGAGCTGCTGGCGGTGTACACGCTGTACACGCGGGACGTGTCGCTGCTGGACGCGGCGGGGCGGTCCGGGGTGGAGAAGCTGCTGGGCGCGGAGGGCGGGGAGGAGGTGCGGATCGACACCGGGTTGAATCCGCAGGGGATTGAGGATGGGGTGCGGCAGGAGGTGCGGCGGAGGGTTGGGCAGCGGGTGCGGGAGTTGAAGGCGGCGGTTGAGGGGTTGGAGGAGAGGGCGGGGGAGGAATAAATATATCAGAAAAGGTTACTAGTTATACTATGATGCTATGGGTTGATTGTTATGGGGTACGGGGGTGGATTTCATCAACGTTATTCCTATATCCATTCTAGAATACATCCTGAACGTTCAGAAGTTCAACCTTCAATGTATATACTGTGGGGTATCGTATCAATATTCTGTAAAAATTTTTGGAATTGTTTCCGAAGAAGTAGGTCACGCCACCTCGGCCAGCGTCAGGCCGAATTGATCGGTCAATGGCGAGGGCGAGGGCATCGTCATGCTGCTGCTGCTGCTGTCTTTGTGGGTGCTTTTGAGGTGTCGTTTCAATTGATCTATCGCCCGTCAGTCTCTCAATCAAGCCCAAGCATTCTGCGGCATCTGCATCGAACACCCACCATGTCGAGTGAAGCTCTTCGTACACCCTGGGTAATGGCATTTATGTCGTCGTTCCCCGTGTGCTGGACCCGTCAGTATATTTCTTCGCCCCCCAAACACAAGGCGGGGACCTACTCAGGCGGTGACTGGACATGTTGGACGACTGCACTCCGTCAGTTTCTATCTCCTTATCAATCAATCAACCAAGGTGTGCTTACATCGCCCGTCTGGAAGTTACACCCCGGATACGTGCACTTGAACGGCTTCTCGCCCGTATGAGTCCGCGAATGCGTTTCTATGCACCCAAGTTAGTCATTCATCGGCTAAGAGGCATCCGACGACATACTCAGTTCGCTGCTGTCGGTAAACGACTTGCCGCACTCGGCGCATTTGTACGGCTTCTCTCCGCGGTGGCTGCGCTCGTGCCGTTCCAACGTCGCCTGCCGCGCAAAGAATTTGCCGCAGACCGAACACTTGAAGCTTTTGTCTACCCCAAGTCAGCAAAGTCGGCAAAGTCAGCAATGAGTTATGCAGACACGGTCAAACGTACAGTTGCTGTGCGTCAGAAAGTGCCCCTGCAGCTTCGACTTCTGCGAAAACGGCTCGTCCGGCCGATGGCACCCCTCCCAGCAACAGTAATACCCCGTCCCCTTGGCCCCCTCCACGGTGGCCATGTGGCTGCCGACGAGATGCTCCTGCAGACCGCACGAGTCCGAGAAGGTGGCGCCGCACGGCTTCTTGACCCCGTCCACCGTCGTGGTCCATCGACACACGTGGGCCTCCTCCGGGATGTACTCCGGGCTGGTCAGCACGGACGACGAGCCTCCGTCCAGCGGAGGCGGCGTGTCCCCCGGACTCAGCTGCGAGCTCACGCTGGACCGCGACTGGCGGGAGTACGGGGAGTAGGGGGAGTAATGGTGGTGCGCGTGGCTGTGCGTCCGGCACCGGTGAACGTGCGTCCGGCACGGTTTGCGGTGCGTCGTGGGATTGGGAATAGGCGCTTCTTGCGTGGTGTTTGGATCGGTCATCTCGGCCGTCTCGGGCGCCTGGTGGGTGTGGAAGTGGGGGATGTGACTGTGGCCGTGGGAATGGTTCGGGTTCGGGTTGATGTGGAAGCAGGTGAATGAATTCGAGGTCGAATCGTCCCCGGGCTTGGGATGCTCACTGCAGTCCGGCACCTGCTGCACATGATACTGGTGATGGCAGGCCGTCAGGTCCGGACACACCCCCATCATGTGGAAGACATCCGCCGGGTTGACCGAGGTGGGCATCGGATACCAGGCGTGGTGCGCATCCTTGGAGAAATCGTGGCACTGGAAATGCTGGTGGCTGTGAGCGTGACAGTGTGACACCGGGACAGGCGCGAAGGGAGCGAAGAAGGCATCTGTGGAACCCACGAGCCCGGGAACCCCAGGGAGCCCGACGCTCTTGGGCTGCTCGCCCGGCACCGGGGGCAGCGCGGTCGGCGACAGGAGGTCGCTTGACTCGAGGTTCAGCGGCGAGCCCAAAGCTAATAACGCCTCGAGGCTGTGCTCGCCGTCGGCGTGGGTGCCACTGCCGAAGCAGTGCTCGTCGAAGCACACCGGGTCCGTGCTGTCGCAATGGGTATCATTGCAGTGAGCGTCGTCGCAATGTGATACAGAGCACACGGCGGCCTCGTCGCAGTCGACGAACCCGTCGCAGACCGACGGGCAGGTGACGGAGCAATTGTCCATGTCACAGCAATCCTCGTCGACGGGGCAGTCCTCCCCGACCTCACAGTGGGGGAGCACTTGGTGCTCTTCCTCGGAGCAATTCCACTGAGGCCCTGGAGCCTCCGCCCCGGTAGGCTCCTCCGGGTCTTTTGCATCCAGATGGAATGCCTCCCAGTGGCACTCCAGGCAGAAATCGTCCTTCTTCGTGTGCGAGGCCATGGTGTCGTGTGAAGGGAAGGTCATGGATGGTAACTCCGTGCAAGGAAGCAGAGCGATCTATGCCTTGAAGGAGTCGATCAAGTCACGGTCTTACGGAATCCTCCGCCCTGACGACCGATAGGAGCGGGGACTTGGGGGGAATAGACTGATGGTCTGTTCTGAGGACTATTTGGGTTTGTTCGGTCGCCAACTGCAGGTGTGGCAAGTCAGCCCAGTTCTCGTCGCCCCTCCACCACGCGAGCGGACACGACAGGTCACATACCAATTAGATCAGCAGAATCTGCAATGGATCGTCCAGCGGTAGCTTAGAACCCTGTAGTGCGACAGAGACTATGGGCAAGAGTCACCAAGAGGCGTGGAGAGAAAAGACAGACCGCCTGGAGTGAGCGGGCAAAAGAGCCTGAGGACCTTGGGGGCCAGCATGAGGACGCATGTAGGGAACCGATGTGGGATTTAGCAGTCCATCGAGTCCAGGAGATCAAGGGTACTGAGTACTGAGTACGGAGTACTGAGTACCAATTCTTCAGGGAACTTTCGGGGGAGGAGTTAAGTGTACCTAGTAGGGAGTAGGGTGGGAGTAGGGGGAGTAGGGGGAGTAGGGCGAATAGGGCAGGTATTTTCGGTACCGATACGGTCGCAATACGGGAGGAACCAAGGGAAGAAGATCTAATCGGAGGGGAAAAAAATGAGGACCTTGTGGACGAGGGGTCGAGCAACGAGGACCTTGGGAGATGGCGTCATGTCTGGCCGGTTAGCCAATCGTGCCCCCAGTGATTGTCAGAGTTCACGTTTGGTGTTTCGTTAGACGACTTGAAGTTCGGGATAAATGTGACGGATTTATTTTCAATGATTTCATAGTTTGATTCACCTGCGTTCGAATGATGGAAAGCAGCAGGAGAGGTAATCTGTCCGAGTCTGTGAAGGATGTCCATTCATCCATCCACTGAGACTTCGCAGGGCGGTCCGGACTCCGGGCGGGAAATCTCTGGGATTGGATTCTGCCCGCCGAATTTCTGCCGCCTTGGAGATGGATGCCTGAGGTCTGTGACAACATCCTCAATAACTTAGCATTTGCAACTCTCGACAAAAATGACCACAGTATACCGTGTTACTATTATCTAAATCAATCAACCGGCCACACTGAAAAGTGATACTCCGGAGAGATCTAGCTGAAGATATTGACATCCTAGACAAGGCCTAACATTGGCTAGCCCACTAACCACCAACCACTATCCACTAGTTAACTACAGTATCCTACTATACAACCGTTATCAACAGAGAAATCCCACCAACGACAGCGCCATCAGCAATTTACCACGGGCACCCCCTTAGTTAACCCAAGTAAGGCTCCTTCCGAGTCTCCGACCGTTGAGTTAGCGGCTCCCGCACGTGCCGACGGCTGCCTACGGGCTACGGACGACGGGCATCGGGCCCTGCACCGCACCCCAGGCATCTCCAATTCCGACCCCATCGAACGGACCCTGCATCCCACGTATTACTCCATCTACACCAGCCACATCCATCCAGCAACACCCCGCAGCTACCCCGTTCCACTTCAAATCCTATAGCAATACCGATCAACACAGCTCGAAGCGTACCTGATTTCCTCTGCCTCCGCAAACACGCAAGCAAATAACACACCACCCATCTCACCCCCGCACGACACCTCGGACCCCGTAGCCGCTTCCCCTACACTTACCTCCACCTGCCTCCACCTCCACCTCCACCTCTTACCTACGCCAACACCAAAAAATATGGGCAACATCTGCTCGAAATCCTCCAACTCGCCCGACGCCTTCGCCCGACCAGGTCGCGTCCTCGGCGCCGCCAACACCGACTCGGCCCCAGCCTCAACCGCAACCGCAACCCCCTCCGGCCCGCGCGCACCGCTCCCCAAATCCACCTCTCACACAAACTGGGGATCCGGGAAGGGAGGGAGGACAGTCGGGGCTGGGTCCGGCGGTGCGACGGCGACATCTTCATCGACACCGGGCACCGCGGACGCAAGGGCCAACGCTGCGTTGGCGGCGCAGGTGAGTCTTCCCTTTCCCCCTCCCCACTACCACTACCCTTACCATATCCCCCTGCTTCACGCGAGATCCCCCGAGATATTTGACTTGAAAGGGAACCGGCTGATGTATAACTGACGGGGCATAGAGACGCGCCGAGTCGGCCAATCAGTCGGCCAACAAGGGGAAATTGGGGTCGAAGTTGGCGGCCCAGAAGACGCAGACCCAGGCGCAGACGTTGAATGAGGCGAGTCGGGCGGAGGTGGCGGCTCGGGATGCGGATGGGGCGGCTGAGGCGAGGCGGTGGCAATGAGATTTGGTCGGGGGGGGCAGGGTTTGTGCTGTACATACTGGGTGGGTGGTGAGGTTGTGGGTTGACATTTCTTGTGGAGTTGGGATATGCTTAGTACTTTCTGTGTTGGAGTGGATTTGTTTCTTGATATGTGCGGGGTGATATATGGGATTCCGTATAAAAATGGCGCAATGGTGAATACCCTAGCAGGCTACTTTTACTACAATGCAGACAAGAAGCATGGTCACTGTATCTATAATACAAACTCCGAACCCTCGCCACTAAACGACATTGTACCGTCCACCCACCGGCGCCCGGGCGTCGCTGTCCGCCGCCGCGATCGTGCCCTCCTTCAGCAGCCGCATCAACTCGCGCATCGCGTTCGTGACCGCCAGCTCGGTCTCGCCCTCCACCAGGATGTATAGCTTGGGGTTCTCGCCAGGTCCAGGCTCTTTGCCTGTCGCGTAGAAGCTGCCCTTCGTGGTGATCGACGTGCCCGTGGATTCCAGGATCTTCGCCACGTTCGTGCGGTTGGTGACGGCCCAGCGAGCTTTCTCTGTAGCAAGGATCAGTATTTGTAGCGGGAAGTAGATAGAGGATGAACTCACGGGGAAAGTCGTTGATTTCCAAGGTGGCATGGAAAGCGCCTGCATCTGGCCCACGGTTGTCGATGGGCACTCCGGATCTCATCACGCCCGCACGGCTCAGACGCGCGTGGATGTCCGCAACAGCCGAGCCCACCTTGTCCAGTGGGTTCTTCGACGTGCTGTTGGGATCCTTCTCGGTCTTGTGCACCGTGATCTTGCCATCCAGATCGATACCCTTGGGAACCCCCGGCATACTGGTCGATGCTGACGCCGTGGCCTGGACGGATGAGATGGCCTTGCTGAACCGGTCTTCAGCTTGTTCGTTCTTCTTCTCGTCCTTCTCCTCTTCCTCCTCCCCTTCTTCGCCGGTCTTGTATGTGCGTCGTTCACGCAGACGCGCAGCATCACGCTCCTGATCCAGTCGTTCCAGACCCTTACCACCAAACCCGGATGCGCTAGCCTTCTCTTTGCCTGCTTTGACTTTCTCCAAGAATGAGTCGACCATCTTTTGCACCGGTTCCGGGATCTTCTGTCCACTCTGCTTGAGCGCTTTCGCGATGTCGACCGAGTACCGTTCCTGGTCCTCCGTCAAGAAGGTGACAGCCGTTCCGGTGTTTCCGGCCCGTCCAGTACGTCCAGCACGGTGAACATAATCTTCGAGATGGTTGGGCGCATCATAGTTGACGACAAGCTTAAGCTGCTTGACATCGAGTCCGCGCGCCGCAACCGAGGTAGCAATCAAAACCGGGAAGATACCAGCCTTGAAATCTTCGATCGTTGAGTCACGATCGATCTGGTCCTTGCCGCCATGGATAGACATGCATGGGTAGCCCTTACGCATGAGCTCGCGGAGGAGCGTATCGGCGGCCTCTTGGCGATCGACGAAGATGAGAGCCCGCGCATCCTCATTCTCTTCGTTCGAGTACAGATTGCCAAGCAATTCCAGCAGGCGTACGAACTTCTGGTCGTCGTTGCGCACCTCGACAATCTGCGTGATCTCGGGTGCGACCACACTCTTACCGCCGACCACAATCTCGATCGGTTTGGTAAGTGTTTTGCGAGCCAGCGCTTCCATGTTCCGCGGGAAGGTGGCGGAGAACAGAACAGTTTGCCGATCAGGTCGAATGTTGGCCATGATCTTCATCACTTGCGGTTCGAATCCCATGTCGAACATACGGTCGGCCTCGTCGAGAACGACGTATGTGACCCTACGCAAATTCGTGACTCGGCCAGCGTTGGCTGCGAGAAGGTCGATCATGCGTCCGGGCGTGCAGACAATTATTTCAGCGCCACGCTTGAGGTCCGCAATCTGGTCCTTGATGGGAGCTCCACCATACGCACAGACAGCCCGAAGGTTGAGGGCTTTGAGGAATGGCTTGCAGTCCTTGTGGATCTGTGTTGCCAGCTCGCGGGTAGGCGTCATGATTAGACCGACAGGGCCCTCCATATTCTCCAACGGCCGTTGATCCCTGATGTGCCGGAACATGGGAATCAAGAACGCAATCGTTTTGCCCGAACCTGTCTTCGCCACACCGATGACATCTCGGCCAGACATGATCGCAGGAATGGCCTGCGCTTGGATGGAGGTGGTTTTCTCATACCCAAGCTTTTCAATCACATCCAAAGTTTGCACACCTAAGCCACACTGAGACCACTTCTGCACTGGCTTCGGAACATCCACACCACGAACTTTGATGCCGTCGAGTTCCAGCCGCAGGCTTGCGGCTTCCTCCTCACTCATCTGCGCCAGATCAGAGGGTTCGGTGTAGAACTTTCTCCGGAACGGCTCGTATTCTACTTTGTGGTGATCAACCGCGGGGATGTCCTTCTTCTTCTTTGCCTTGTTGGCAATCGCAAGGAAGTCATCGGCATCTCCTTCGCCAACAGCCGTCACATCGACATCGTGCTCATCACCGAAGATGGCCTCGGGCTGTTGTGCCTTGGCGCGCGAGAACTTCGCGCCACCCGCTCTCTTCGGAGGAGCAGTCTCGGCTAGTTCGGACATGAAAGCATCTAATGGATCGACTTCCTCCTCTTCTTCCTGAGCATCAACTTCCATGCTGTCGGGAGCCTGGTTGTCAGCTGCGTCTTCCATGACAGTATCACCATTAGCTTCCTGCGAGGTGTCCGTGGATTGAGCCAATTGCAAACGCTCCTCTCGTCGTTCGGCCGCTGCCCGCGCAGCTGCCGCATTCTCTTCCTCGGTGCCCCCCTCATGCATGTCGACGTCATCCTCATCCTCGTCTTCAGCCCCGCCACCTGTGGTTCCGTTGATATCTTTCGAATCCTCTAGAGGCGGGGTGGGTAGCCTCTCGAGCTTCCGTCGCGTTGACTCCTCCTCTCCGAATCCCAAGGTTCGTGTAGCAGTGGACTTCTCGGCCTCCCCAGCCTGCCTGGTTCCTAGCCCAAATCTTCCTACATTACCCTTGGCCTTTAAGGTGGCTAGAACGCTCAAGTTAGTCTGGAACTGATACGCATAGATAAGAGGCGGGAACGTACATGAAGAGCTGCTCGTGGCTGGAGCAGGACTGCCAGAGGTCGTGGCGGAGGGCTTTGACGGGAGTGGAACAGCAACATCATTGCCCAACACAGCCGGTGCGGGCGAAGATGTGGATGTTCCCTTCTTTGCGATAGCCTTCGGGTCAAACTTTCCTGCATACGTAGCGGGTGCCACTTCAACAGCCGGCGTTGCCGGAGATTGAGGCGAACCGACAGCCGGCGATAGACCAGACTTTCTATCGATCTCCTCTAGAATGCTTCTAGCTCCTCCAGCCGCCGCAGCTTCCCGCTGTTTGCGCTCCTTTTCCGCGGCTTGTTTCTGTTTCCATGCCTCCAGTTTCGCGCGCCGTTCCGCCCTTTTCTCGTCTTCTGTTTGGGCGGCGGGTGTTGCTGGAGTCGACGGTTTTGATGCCTACGATGAGCATGTCAGCCTTGATTCATAAAATAGTAAAGGACCGGGCTAGCTTACATCACGAGACCTGGACCGCGAGCGTCTGGCCCGATCCCGGCTGTCGTCCCGTCTAGACTTGTGCTTCAAGTCAGCAGAATCATCTGTCCGTCTCCGTGCCCGATCCCGGGAATCTTCTCGCCTGCTTCGATAGTCCCTATCGCGGCTTCTTCGGCGGTAATCCCGCTGATCGTCTCGGTCTCTGGATCGGCGCCGATCGCGAGAGCGATCCCGACGGCTGGGGCGATAACTGTCTTCATCGCGGTAGTCGTCATGTCTGTCTACGGAGCGGTCGCGCCTCCGGTAGGAGTCTCGGTCGCGATCGCGTTCACGGTCACGATATCGTCGCTAAGTCGGCGGTGAACAGATTAGACATAAGTTCCAATTTAATAAGGCGAACTGGGGCACAAGGACCTACCTCTGGACTGCGTGAGCGGCGGTAACTCCTGCCATCGTCGCGCCTGCTCCTCTCATAGCGATCATCGTCTCTGCGACTCCGTCTGGATGAGGAGTATGTGCTGCCTACAGGTGATGGTGAGCGAGTATCCCCGTGGCGAGCCATTGTTGCAGGCCAACGATGAGTGAGTATTACTGAGACTCAAGAAAGCTCGAGCACTTGGATTTGGATAGGATAGTGAAGTGGATGTTTACCCTTCCATTCAGGTCTTCTCCAAGTTATACCGGGTGATTAGTATGCCGATAGTTGGCGCGGGGTGGCAAGTCTCAGTCGGAGAAGGCTGAGGTAGATGTTGTATCTCCGTTGGGTTGTATCTTGGCCCGGCATTAATTGGGAGACTCGGACGGGCCGCAGTTGAGCAGGGTCGGTCATCACGTGACTAGTAGTAATCGGGCGGCGACCGACTGACCAGTCACGTGTGATAGCCCAGCTCTTCCCGATAGAATTATGACCTAACTAAGTATGGATGCAAATGGATCTTATGGGCGGGCGGGCAGCTACGCTACGCGTGCCTTGCAGTTTCCACCCGTGACCTGACCTTCCCAACCTCTTCCGGTTCCGTCACTGAGCTCCGGTCTGTACCCCTGCGAAGGAGAAAACAGAACCAGATTCACCTTCATACAGAAGGAGAACTGATCCACGCGACTCACTTGGTAGGTACCTCTCCCTCTGTCGGTCTCCTATCCGAATTTTATCCCAAGCTTCCACTCCGATCAATGTTCCCATGTTTACGTTGACCCTTCCAGCGTTAGTTCCGAGACCATGCCCGCGAAACTCGTTCGCCAGGGAGGCGTGTTCCTCCAGCATCTCAACATCAGCGATGCTTTCTCACGCCCCGTCCGTCAAATGATCTCTCACGCTCATGTCCAACGTCTTTCGATGTTGTCCCGTGGTCGTTTCATTGGTCCAATTGCGGCACGCGCCCCTGTTCTGTCCCGAGGCTTGACGAACACATACGCGACTGCAGCTGAAGCCAAGTCTTCAGAGCCCAAGGCGGCCAAATCGATCCCCAAGGTCCGAAAGGTGCAGGCAACCGAGTCCAAGGGGACCGCTAAAGTGAAGAAGCCGAAGGCGCAGACGGGAAAGACGAAGGTCACGAAGAAGGCCACGAAGAAGGCCACGAAGAAGGAGCGGAAGCCGCGGGAGAAGAAGCCTCTGACTCCCGAAGAGGAAGAGAAGCTGACTCTGCGCGAGAAGAAGAAGCAGATCAAGGAATGCAAGGCCCAATGTCTCACTCCGCCTCAGCTGCATCCCACGACGGTCTATGCTGTGGCTCGCGCTGAAGCCGGGAAACAGATCTCCAAGGAGGGTTTGCATATGAAGGGCATATATATGATCAACGAAATTCAAGAGCGCATTTTGAGCCTGAGAGCTGAGCAGACGGAGGTACTGCTAAGCTCCTTGCTATATGTGGAAGATCGATGCTAACGATTTGACTTCAAACCAGGAATACACACGCATTGCGGAGGAGAACAAGAAATTGAACGAGAAAATCATGGCTGATTGGATCAAGTCCTACACTCCTGCTCAGATCCGGGATGCCAACAAGGCCCGGCGCAAGCTTACTAAACTTACCGGCAAGCGGCAATCGAGACTTACCCTGATCGATGACCCTCGCCTCGTTGCCCGCCCTCTACATCCTTATGCCCACTTCACCAAGACTCGATTCCAAGATCCTCACATCGCCAGTCTTCCCATGTCTGAGCGGAGCCCACGTATCAGTGCCGAGTGGAAGGCACTAGCGCCGGAGGAGAGAAAGGTAATGTTCAAGATCAGATCGTAGCCGTGGCCGCGTTGGAAAGCACTAACACCAGACGACAGGCTTACGACCAGGCCTACAGAGAAGACAAGGAGCGTTACCTTCGCGAGTATAGGGAGGTCTATGGCGACGAGCCTCCGAAACTTCCCAAGGCGCAACGCGAGTAGAGGTCGGGACCAGGAGTCCATGATACGAGCGTCTTCACACCATGGCACTGGAAACCTACCTTGATCATTTTGTGGAGCAACGAAATCCAACTTGTTCTATTAAGGGGATCTGTAATGGGTTATCAGGCTCGGAGGATCCGGGGGTTTTCTGTTAACAACCAGTTGTCTTTTTCTCCCTTCTGTGTTGTCTTCTAGTATCGATTCCGCAGCTGTCATGTCTTATTTTTTCCTCAGTTCGATCGGGGAGGGTAAATTAACATTTGTATTCTACCAAAGAAAAACCAAAGCATACAGAATGAATGATTTCGGGTGAGGTTTGTCTTGCCTAAACTCATTTCATTCAATCAACCTCGGGCTATTTCGGTCAAGCCCTGATACCCCAAGGCCACGCAATGGATCTCCAGAACATCCTCTTCAACACATTTAACCGCGGACGTCATGACGAGATTCCTCTTTCGAGCCTTACAGAAGAAAGCTCCGGTAGATCGACTTTCCGCATAGCTGTTCCCGCCATGACTCACAGCAGCAGCAGCTCTTATGTCCTTTACGAAACCAAGCATGCATCTCTCCTCGCCCCTTAATCTGATCTCCCGCCAGCACGTGGAGCCCACACTGGTCGATCCAGATGCGCTGAGATGGATGTTGGGCATGAACAAATTGGAAAAGTCTACATCAGGTACTAGGTACAGGACACAACACAACCAAATCGGATCTCATGTACCAGGTAGGTAGGAGCCAGCAACACGCAAGACAAGGCAGTGACTCATCGGACTGGGTGGTTGGTCTAGGCCCGCTGCTGCAGCTGCCAGGAGACATTACAGAAGCCGCACGCACGCTCGCACGCACGCTCGCACGCACCCCCCAGTCGAAGAGAATTCTCCTCGAAAGGACTGTATGGACGGAAAACCCTGAGCTATATGTCCTGCATGATGCTCTTGGGATCTTCTTTTTGCTCTGGCCCGCGAGATCCGTACCGTCGATCAGCGGAAATGGCGTTGCGGGAATTTCTTTCTTCATACTATGTGCAGTACTCCGGTGGGTTGGGGCTGCTGGCTTGGCGGCTGGAGGTAGGCTTTACTTCCAATATCTATCTTGGGGTGTAGACTTGCTCTTTGGTAGCACTTGGTGGAAGTGAGAGTTGATTAACAGGCATACCGTAGCTTTGAGGGGTTGTTGACGCAGGCTGCATTCTGAGGGTTTGTCTACATGGTCTTCAAGGGTCTCCGATGGATCTTTCAGGGTGTACTGCTGCGCGTTTCGAGAGTAATTCTCGAAGTGCAAGAGCTATGGGAGTGTTATCAGGAGGTATCTTGATGCTTCTTTACGGTGCAATGGCTGATGGTATGGCAGTTCGCTCGTTGGACCTATGCACGAGAACGCATGGATCTGCAGTATAGCCGACAAGTAAATCATGATCTTGACCCAAGAGCTGCAATCCAATCCAGTGGAAATCCTTCAAGCCCTCTACGCGCGGGGAAAGCTCTGAAAGCTTCTGGTTCCAAGGTAACAAGCTACAATGAGGCTGAACCTAAAGGAGTAACAATGGGATGATGGTTTTGCGGTGGTTGCGGCGGTAGATTCGGGGGTATTGGCTTTCGGCCAAACGCTCCTCATGACTCTTCCTGCTCCTTGTTTTCTTTTTCTACCCTGCAGGCCAATTGACTAGTTCAACCGCAGTCGCACAGTGCTTGTATCACCGTCTGAAGAACGCTGGTGAGACATTCTGAGGTAGACGCCGGACACGAAGAAAAGAGGGACAGACACCCTGCGGTGTTGCCAACTGGAGTGGTGGCACGGAGGGATGGATGGGGGCTTGCATCTGACTTCGATGCTGGACGGGATATCGGTAGAGCCAGTAGATTACTCAGTAGTTTACTTGGTTAACTACAGCCAAAAGTGGTGGCTGTCTACTAAATATCCTCCACAAGACAATCTACTTCCTGATCAAGGACCTCTAGCGGGTATCGACAAGAACAGCTGTCAATGCTAAACACTTTTGGGATACACCTACAGTAGTCGGACGAAACCCACTTCTGAAGAGTAAACGGCAACACCATCAACTAACACCGAAAAAGCAAAGTCAAGCGGAGGCCCGTTGGGTTCTCAGAGTGGCCCACGCGTTTTGATAGGCTCGGGCCTATTCTTCGCCTTCGATGCGGTGAAGAACTGCTTCCCTTTTGGTTTTTTTTTTCAACGCAACCCGAGTTTTCCTCGCTGAATAATGTATACCTAGGGTATTGGTGGGCAGATTTTGTCGTTCTTGAGTTTTGGCTGCCTGATGGTTGCATTGCAGGATGTTGGATGATGAAACGCCCTGCAGTTTTAATCTGGTGGTTCATGTTGAGTTGAACCACTGCTGCTGCTGCTGCTGCGGTGGTGGTGGTGTTGAGAAGATGTGTCTGAGGCACGTGGGGTTGATGGGTCGGTCGTACTATGTAGGACAAAGGTCGACAGTGGAAGTGGATTCCTGCTGCTTTGGCTCAAGAATGCGCTATTGCATATTGAACATCATGGTGCTGTACATTCTGTACAATGTATAGTACTGCGTACTGCAGTGCACATTGATCTATGTTTTACTGAATTGACTTGACTGAAGGCCCGCAGGTCGAACCAAGGAACGGGTGTTCTTTTTAGGTTGAGTGTTGACAGTCTGTATACTATTTCCATCACTTCGTCCCCACTTGGGGTTGACAACGAATACATTGATTCCATCTTTTCCCCTTCCCCTCTTGCTCCGCTATCGGTAATGTAAGGCATCTCTGGTGTTCCGGTCGGTGTGCATGAGTCAATTCTGTCCAGGGGGAATTTTTCCTGTTATAAGTGAGTCTGGAAGCAGAGACATCTTCAGCAGCAGCAGCAGCAGCAGCAGCAATATTGACAAGAAGTGAGTAAATCACTACGGTACTCCGTACTTAACTATACTACCTTAGTACCTGGATACTAACATCCCTTGACTTAGAAGTACGTAGTAAGTGTCTACCTCTCCCACTTCTCCCCTCCCCCCTCCCCCCTCCCCCTCCTCCGATCCCCCCATCCCAAAGGCCAAAAGCCAAAAGGAGGGGTGGCCTCGTTATCGATAGGCGCATTTGCCCACCGCCCCCTCGGAGTGTGACTGGCTTGTGCCTGCGTGACTTGGGCTCGATCTCTCTTTCTCACCACTGGCAATCTTTCTTATTTGCTTCTCGCTCCCTTCGACCCTCGTAATTTGATTGTTGCTGATGCACTACTAGACCAGGTCCGATCGGCGGTGACCACTCTGATTGTTTCCTTCTCTCTCGCACGCGTTGTTACTTCCATTCCCCCCCCCTCCCCCCCCCAGTCTGAGCGATCTCCTAGCCTGGTAGTCGGTGCCGTCCCATCCATCCCCAGCCACCGCCATCCTATCAACTCCCGAGTCTACTATACGCTCCTCCGTCTTGGGCCTCGGGAATCTCACCCCGGTCTCAAATACTTTTTCTTTTTTTCTTCAATTTTTTTTTGTTTTTTCTCTTTGTTCCTCTTTTGGGTTGGAGCAAATCAAATCACTCTTGTCAATCGCATAGACGGACAGAAATGTAAGACCTTCGAAATCTCCGATTTGCACGCAGTACGCAGTGATGCTTTTCACTCCACCATCATCTCCCCGAATTCCTCCCCTTTCCTACCCACCATTGCTGGCTGACGTCCCTGTCTTGAAAGCCCCCGGTGCTAGCTTACATTCCAGAGCTAGCTTTCGCATCGCATCCCCGCCAATCCCCAATCATCGTCTGGCGAAGGATCCAGATCTTGATTGAGCAGAATTGCGCTCTCTTTCTTCTTTGGTTTCTTCCAGTCCACCGCCTTGTGGTCCATCGGCTCGATGGCCTGCCTCCACATCCCTACTCTCCCTTTCTACTGAACCTTTGCCGTCATCATTCTCGACCGCTCTCCTCGCATATTCCAACATATACCTTTTTCGTGTTCGCTGATCCTTTTGTCTTTTGTATTCCCTTAGGCTTGCAGGCCCACTACACCCCCTTCTCTTTGGCTGCAATTCTCCGTCAGCGTGACGTTTTCGGCCCTCTGAATTTGCGCGTGCTGTGGCTGCGATTGCGCTGGCCGCTTGTTAATTATATCTAGGGGAGGCTTTCTCGGTTCTCTAAGCCCTTTCAATTGGTGTCCATTGTTACGCGCACTCCCTATCTTCTGGATCATTCTGCCACCTGATACCCGATCTCGACGCGGAAACTAGGTATAGATTCCGTGTTTCCAGCCTGCGGTGTCGGGAGATAACTGCCTCTTCAAGAGGAGCAGGCCGATCGCCCTTCAAGACTCATGCGCTACATCTCTCTCTTACCAGCATGGAGACCGTGCGCATGCTCGACCAAGGCCAATTCGCAGAGTCGAAATGGGGTGATTCCCGTACTCAGATCGAGTGTTGGCCGACATGCCGGGCAGAGAAGAGCTGCGTGAGACCATGCGGGGATCATCATGATCAGAATGCGGCGTCTGTCGCCTCAGTGGTACGAGAGATCGCTGCACCCGTCAGTTGCAATAGAGCCATTGCGACGAGCGATGGCAAGGTACGACCAAACCCTCTTGGCTTGAGCTATCTGATTATTCCGTCAGATACACTGTCAACATTCAGCGCAAAAAGGCTAACTAGGAATGTCATACTAGAAGAGTCTATCAGAGTCCACCGAGAAGTCTTTCTACGTGCTGAAGAGCACAGCACTTGATGAAGTCGATCTCCAGGTGCCCAATAATGGATATTACGAGGACCCCCCGCCTTCATACGGCGAAGCTGTAACCGATCTCCCCCCGGACTACTCCACTCTAGCTTCGTTCGCCCATCGGAAAGATCTGTCCGATGACTCGGCACCGGCGCAAATCGCGTCGAGCTCAAATAAGGATAAGTCCTCGTCTCGACTTATCGACTTTGACAAGATCCAGGGTGTTCGAGAACACGCAAAGAAGAAGAAAAAGAACCCGCCACAGCCACAACGTAAGAAAAGCCCACCGCCGGATGAGGGTGGAGACAAGCAGGATCAGGGGAGTGGTGACGACCAGAAGGGCGATAATAATGGCAACGACGGGGGCGGTGATGCTGGTGAGGGAAGCAATGGAGGGGATGACGGCAACGGCGGAGGTGGCGACGGCGGCGACGGTGGAGACGGTGGAGATGGTGGGAACAACGAAGACGACAATGACTGGGACGCGTGGGCTACGACCACCACAAAGAGCAAGAAAAAGAAGAAGAAGCAGGAGGAAGAAGAGCGACTGAAGAAAGAGGAGGAGGAAAAAGCGGCCAAGGAAGAAGAAGAGCGACTAGCCAGGGAGGAGGAAGAGAGACTAGCCAAGGAAGAGGAAGAGAAAAGAGCAAAAGAGGAGGAGAAGAAAGCTGCCGAAGAAGCTGCAGCCGCCAACAACCTCAGCTGGGCGGACGATGCCGACGGTGCAAACGATGACAGCTGGGCTGGTTTTACCACTGCAAGCAGCAAGAAGAAGAAAAAGAAAGGCAAGGTATGCTGAGCAATTTATCCCCAGTTTGGAAACAACCATTGCATCCAGTCTGACCGAATGTGTAGGGCGCCGAGGCTGTTCCCGAGGCTGTGCCCGAGGTGCCTCCCCCGCCTCCAACGAATGGGTTTCAGGAGGTGAGCCTAGGTGAGAACGTGCCGCAGTTGGATTTAGGTCTGCCTCCTCCAACCGGAGATGTCGGTTTCAGCTTCGGTGGCTGGGACAAAGGCTGGGGCACAGGTAACAAATGGGGTCTGGACACTTTGAATGGCGCAAACGGTGCGACACCCGATAAAGGCAAAGCAGACAACAATCCTTGGTCATTTGCCGCGAAGACTACAAGCGTGGGATTCGGGTTTGGAGGCATCGACGAACCTATTGGCACCGATAATGCCATCAGTAGCGAAAAAGAGACCAAGCCCGAGGATGACATCTGGGGTGGTTTTACCATGGGCAAGAAGGACAAGAAGAAAAAGAAGAAAGACGCGGAGGAAAACCTTCCCAAAGACCTTGAATCTGAGCCAGTTCAGGAGCCAGAACCTACGCCAGAACCCGAGCCGCAGGCGCAGCCAGAGAAACTTCCAGAGATAGCCGACGACGACGACTGGGGCTGGGGAGCACAACTCTCGAAGAAGGACAAAAAGAAGAAGAAGAAAGATGCTCTGCTTGAAGAAACTGTACCTGCGGAGTCTCCTGCGCCTGAACCACCGGCAGCGGCTGAGACTGCTCCCCCTGAGGACGACTGGAATGCTTGGACTTCTACCTCCAAGAAGAAGGATAAGAAGGCCAAGAAAAGTGCCATCCTCGAAGAGCCCGTCGTGGAGGAGGCAGTTGTCGAGGAACCAGCTCCAGAGCCGCCGGCTGAACCCGAACCTGAGCCCGTCGAAGAAAAGAAAGAAGAAGATGATGATTGGGGCGCCTGGGGATTGTCCAAGAAGGACAAGAAAAAGAAGAAAGGCAAGGCTGCCGAACCCGAGCCAGAGCCAGAGCCGGCACCAGCGCCGGCACCTGAACCTGAGCAAGAACCAGTGCCTGAGCAAGAACCAGTGCCAGAGCCAGAGCCAGTCCTCGAACCCGAGCCCGAGCCCGAGCCCACGCCTCCAGCCATACCCGATAATCCTCTCTACAATAATTGGGAGAACTTGAATTCCAAGGATCGGAAGAAGAGAGAGAAGCAGCTGGTCAAGAAAGGACTTCCAATCCCTGGCAAAGATTTCGAATGGCCTCCTCCTCAACCCGCTGAGCCTGAGCCCGAGCCCGAGCCGGAACCTGAGCCCGAGCCAGTGCAAGAACCTGAAACTGAGCCCGTACCTGAGCCTGTAGAGCCAGACCCTGAACCTGAGATTGAGCCCGTCCCCGAGCCCGAACCAGAGCCAGTTGCTGAACCCGAACCCGAACCCGAGCCCGAGCCCGAACCAGAAACTCCAGCTATTCCAGACAACCCTCTGTACGACAACTGGGAAAATTTAAATTCCAAGGAACGGAAAAAGAGAGAGAAGCAGTTAGTCAAGAAAGGGCTTCCAATTCCTGGCAAGGATTTCGATTGGCCACCACCTCCACCTGCTAAGCATGAGGAACCTGCCCCGGAGCCAGAAACGGTTCCTGAGCCCGCTCCTGAGCCTGTTCATGAACCCGAGCCTGAACCTGAACCTGAACCCGAACCTGTTGTGGAACCCGAGCCCGAGCCGCTACCCGAACCTGTACCAGAGACCATCGATGAACCTGCGCCTGCACCCATACAAGCCGAACAAGTCTATGACGAAGCGAGCTGGGGTATCTGGAGTACTGGGAAAGACAAGAAAAAGAAGAAAGGTAGCAAGATTGCAGCGGAGCCACCTCCCCCCGCACCGACTCCACCTTCTCTAGGATTCACACATGAGCCAGAAGGATATGTGCCTACAGAGCACGTGCCCGAGGAGCCTCTCTGGGATGAATATGATGTCAAGCCTCCCAAGAGCACTAGCAAGGGATTTGGGATAGAGGAGACACCAAAGGCTTCGATGGGGTTCTGGGCCACTCTTGGAGCAGCAACGATGGGTAAACCGAAGGCGACGAAAAAGAAGTCAGCTGAGAAAGCCAAGCCCATAGAGATTATGCAGGAGCCGGAGCCGGAGCCTGAACTGGAGAGCAAGCCCGCTGACGATGACTTACTAATCGACATTGGCGGTGCACCCCAGATGCCAGAAGCGCCAGAAGCGCCCGAAGCGCCAATGCCACCAGTTGTCGAGGAACAAGCCGCCCCGCCAACAAAGACTCCTGTTGTCACCTCCAAGACCAAGTCATCAGCCAAGCTGTCCGTCGCTGAGCGCATCAAGTCTCTTGAGCAAGCGAGGAAGGATAAATTGAAAGAGAAAGCGGGGAAGTCTAAGGCAAAGGAAGTCGTGCTGCCTCCACAAGAGGAAGTTGTTGAGCTTCCTCAGGAAGAGCCCATTGTTGATATTGAGCCTGAGCCATATCGACCGAGAAAGTCTTCGCGTGATCTGGTCCCTGGAAGCTTTCCCGACGCGTTTGACGACGAGTACGACGATATTCCCCCACCCCCTGTTCCGGAACCCCCCGTTCAGGGGCTTGAGCCTGAACTTGAGCCTGAACCTGCACCAGAGCCTATTCCTGAACCTGTACAGCTGGAACCGGAACCAGTACCAGAGCCAGTCGTGTTGTCAAAGAAGGCCAAGAAGAAAGAGAAGAAGAAGGCAAAGGTGATCGAAGTAGAGTCTGAGCCTGTTCTTGTTCCTGAGCCCATTCCGGAGCCAGTCGCGGAGCCTGAACCTGAACCTGAACCCGCCCCAGCCCCAGTACCGGAGCCAGAGCCCGTAATAGAGCTTGAACCCGAGCCTGAGCCTCTTCCGGTGCCCGTTTCCAAAACTGAGAAGAAGAAAAAGAAGAAGAAGGTCATTGAGCTAGAGCCGGAGCCTGTCCTTGCTCCAGTCGTGGAAGACGCCCATGTCCCCGTTCTGGAAGAGCCCGAACCAGTGGCTGATATTCAACAAGAACGCGACACTATACCGGAGCTCGATGAGGCGCCTGCTCCAGAATTTGAGAAGCTAAAGAAGAAGAGCAAGAAGGTATCCAGCCTAGAACAGGCTGTACTTCCGGCAGATCGTCCGCCGGTTGATGTAGGTCACGGTGGACCTCCAACGCCCCCTCCGGAGCCTATCGAAAGCCAACCTGACAAGATGCCCAGAAAGGAGCGCACCCGTGTGGAGCGTACCCCCGGTCCTGCTTCGTGGGGATTCTGGGCTGGCGCCCCTTCTAAGAAAACGCCCCAGAAAGAGTCTAGGCATCGGGGAGAGCATTCCCCGCCACTGATGGTGCGGACGAGGTCAACCAAACACATTAAATCCCGGGAAGGTGAGAATGAGGTCGAAAAGTCATCTACTTCTGACCGGGATCGACGCAGAGAAGCCCGACATAGCCGAGGTATGACATTCTCCCACTTTATCCTGGGGATGCCCCCTCCGTCTCGGAAGAAGTCCACGAAGAAGTCTAGAGCCCAAGCTCCAAGGCCGATATCAAGACGCCCCTCCGTAGAGATGAGCAATGATGTGAAGGATACTAAATTGCCCACGCCGCCACCAGACAACCACCGAGACATGCCGGATAAAGCTGCCAGAACGATGGGTACGAACGGTTCTTCGACACGAGAGACATTTCATGCATCTCGCAGGCGATCAGGTATTTATGCCTCCCAATGGCTTCGCCGTGCTGATTTACTAATCTCATGGCCCTGTAGCTGTGCCTGATCCGTATGCGATTGACGAGGATGATATCGTCATGGTGGACAGAGATGATCTCGATGCTTCTGCACCCCGAGAGGGCGGTTCAAGAGGATCGCGGCATTCCGACAGACGGTCTCGACACAAGGTAAGAAACCTAGAATCGGTGGGCCACGGGCTTCGGCTAACTGATTCGGCCCTACGCAGTCGCGGTCTCGACATGACGAGTTGGATGACAGGGCCATGCTCGACGAGCTACAGCAAGAGGGTCCAGAAGTCGTATCTGGGCCGGATGATATTGCATTTGTGGAACCTCCGCGGGAACGACGCCTCAGACGGTCAAACACGGCTCCAAGAAAGCCAGAGCCCGGTCCGGGTGGTCTCAAGGGGCTTATCGGATCTTTACGGAGAACGGCCCGCCCCGAGATGCCAGAGCGTCACAAGTATCGCTCTTACGGGGATGAAGATGCCAGGTATATGACCGAACCAGAGCGCGGCGAGTCTCGTCGCATGAGACACGAGAGCAGACGGAGACGACATGATATGCCGGATAGGGACGGTGAGGGGTTCCTCACCGATGCTCCGCCGGTAGAGGCATTCCCCGAAACGGATGCAGAAGAAGCGGAAGCAAGGAGGGCGGCACGCCGAGCCCGACGAGCTGCGCGGCAAGCCGCATCTGATCAGCTTCGCGAGAGCGAATGGCGGGAGGCCGAAGAGAGGCGCGCTCGGCGCAAAGAAAGAGAAATGGCACGGGAACGCGAGATGCAGGAGCGGCAGCTGCGTGAGGAGGAGGAAAGGGAGGCCGAACGACGACGGGAGGAGCGAAGAGCTCGCCGGGCTGCCCGTGAGGAGCGGGAGCGGCGTGCCAGAGAAGAGGAAGAGGCCCGTGAGGCCGCCGAAGCTAGGGCTGCGCAGCGCCGCGAGCGCAGGAGGCAGCGAGAGGCGGAAATGTATGACCCCACCCAGGAGTCTGGCAGATCCAAGCGCCGGTCCATGCCCGTCGACGATCGAGCTGCCCGAGAGTTCTACTTCGATGGCATGATGGATGCCGATCAGGCTGCCCCTTCCCCACCTCACCACTATCACCACCACCCGGAGCGATCTGCCGACGGCGAGCGGTTCAGGCGTCGGAAGTCCAGGGCGCCTCCTCTCGATGCGGAGAGATTCCGGCCAATCATGTCCGGAGGCCGCAAGGATAAGACTTCGTCCTGGATCGACTCACAGGCGGACGATCCGCCGGAACCCCCACCCGTGATGACTACGGTGCTAGATATGCCCGGAGGACCCGAAGGGGCCGCAAACGGCGGCTCGATCTCGTCGGACGAAGAGGCGCGCCGTGAACTGCGCCGCCGGGCTCGTCGGCGAGCCAGATACCCCGGGCTGACGGACCAGGAGATCGACGAGCTCCGTTCCCGGAAACGCGAGGTGCGACGCTCCGAGCGGAGTTCCGGGAGTGGAGACTACGAGCGTGCGCGGGGGATGCGGTCGCCGTATGAAGGCCGCTATGAAGACCGCTACGCACCGCCCCCGGTCAGCAATGGGAGAATGCCCAATTGGTTCCGCAAATTGACCAATCTGGGATGATGAGGTGACGCATGCAGTTCCAACGGGCTTGTCGCACTATTACAATCTGCGAGTTGGGGCCCTTTTATGAATTCAACGATGAAACGACAGTGCAATGAGGCCGAACGTGGAAGATATCCTGGATGTTTGATGAATGATTATGTGTCTTTGCCATGTGACTTTGTATCCGAAGTGAAAGAAAATGATCTAGATGATGCGCTTGGATTATATGATGTACGACTACCATGAGAATGATTTTTATTTTTTTGCTTGCCAGTGATTGTATTGGCATACTCAAGGCACGTTTTCCACATATTCTTGCACCTGGTACTCCGTAGCAATTGGAGTATTACATTAGGCTCTATCTATTCTTGCATAACCCCAAATCCAACCCGAGCATCTAGCCCAGGAAAGTCTACAACGGCGCCCCTTCCTCCTCATCTCTTGCCTTTTGCTTCTCCCTCTCTCGCTCCCCCCGCCTATTCCCCAAATAAATCTTGCCCCCCTCATACATGCTCAAATAGATCCCAAACGAGATCGCCGTCCAGAACGCCCGCAACGCCCCGCCCCGAAACAACCCCTTCACCCCTTCCTTCCCATAAACCTCCCTCCCCACCGCCCACGCACCGGCCCTCTTTTTTGGTTCCGCCGTCTCCGTAGCCGCCAACATCATCCGCGTCTTGACCACATCAATCGGCGTCGTCACCACCGAGGACACCGTACCCGCCACACTCCCCGCGATGCCCGTCACGCAGACCCGTTCGACGATTCCACCGTTCCCGTCGTGTTCCCGGTGATTCCCCTCCCGGTAAGCCACCACTTTGCCCCTGACGAACTCGAAGATCGGGAACTGGATCCCCGTGAACGGCAGGTTGCGGCCGAGCAGTGCCGTGTATCCGCTCCAGAGTTTCCAGGGTCGGTGCCGGAAGCGGTGGAGGATGGTGAGGGTTATGTTTTTGGGCTTTGGGGTGCTGGTGCTTGTGCTGGTGCTGGTGACGATCTGGGCGTTCTGCTTCAGTACCTCCGCGGGCGTGAGGATGAAGCAGGAGACTGCTTCGGCGGTGCAGGAGGCGAGGGAGTGGAGGAGGGGTGTTGGGAGGGTGGTCTTTTGTGTCTGGGATTGGGTCTGGTTGGTGAAGAGGTGCGTGAGGGCTTGTTTGCTTGCTTCGTAGGTGGTGAAGAATGCTCCTGCTTTTGGGGGGGGGATTCTCTTAGTTTAGGGATGCGAGAACAACGAGAAGGGTTGGCCCGGGGCTTCTATTGAGGGGACAGGACAGACAAGGGAAGACCTACAGGCTGGAATCGTGGCGAGGACGACGCTGCCGACGCCCTGATAGAGGCCCTTGAACAGCACGCCGCGCTTGATCTGGCCGGTCGTCGCGTCCTTGTAGACGGTGGCGTAGTCGGGGGATTGCAGGCGCGTCTTGAGGGTGTCGAAGGGGTAGACCATGAAATCGGTGATGACGACGGCGAAGGCGCCGGACTGTTGTTTTTTTTCCTCATGGTTAGTACTGTAGTTATAGGCTATGGGATACTCATGGGTGCGATGATGGTACGCGCAGGTAGGATGAGGCGGTTTGGGAGGGCAATTGCTGCTGCGCTGCTGGGATTGACATACGAGCCAGATGTCGGAGTTGGTGTTGGGCATCGTGTATGCATAAATTGAATCTATCTTGCATGGATCCAAGATAATCTACTCGTGAGCATTGAGAATCGCTGGAATAGCAATCGTCATTGTAATGATTGTATCAATCCTTATCTAATCGTTATCGGCAGCAAAGGTATCAAACGATGAGGTCATCAATGCCACATCACGTGGACACGTCGTACCCTAATACAGCAATTAGGGCAACGCCATTCCCGAAGCAGTCAATCTGGGGAAACATGCAGAAGACGCTCTCACCAAAGGCGAAACAGGGGGGAGGGGATGGGGAAACATCGGTAAACAACAAACAAAAAACCTATATAGATTGAAAGCGAATTCTCCCCCAAAAGTCATATCCCGTAACTCTATTCGTCACTGGAATTAAGAAACAACCAGGAGACATATTAACAGTCAGATACAGAATTTTCCCTCCCTACGCCGTAAGGTCATGCATGCGATTTCCAGAATCCTCACAGTGTGAGACAAATCATATCAGTTTGGCCCTTCTTCTTCATCTTCGTCTTCTTCGCGCTTCCCCTAGAAGTCCTCCACTCTATTTGGCGGTCTCTCCCGGCAGAAGGTTACCCTTGACAGCAAACATCTTGCCCGTCGTGGAGGCAACGAAGCTGTCCACCTGGCGGGCGTACTGCTCGACCTGGCGGCTGTTCAGCATGCTGTCCAGACGGCTGGGCTCCTGAGGGAGCTTGAACAGCCGCTGCCACTCGTCCTCGGGGAGGAGGGGCTGCTTGAGAGTCGCACGGTTGGCGTTCTCGGTCTTGCGCTTGTTTTGCCAGGCGGTGATCTTGGCCTGCTCACGGGCAAGCGAGCGCTGGTAGTACTGGAAGTTGTTGGTCTCGGTGTGGTGGACCTCGATGCTGTCGAGCAGAAGGTCGCAGTTCTTCTCCAAGAAAGGATCGATGCTGAGGGAGAGGTTGTCGAAGTTGGGGGCCAGCACGGAGGACTTGGCGAAGGGTCCAGACTCCAGAGCAGACAAAGAGGCGGGGAGATCCGTGGGGGCGGACTGGATGGGGGACTGAAGCTGGTGGACGAAAGAGGTGATCAGGTGGGAGTTGTGGATCTCAACGGGAAGTTCGACGAAGATGTCCTGGTATCTGAGGTTGGACTTTTGGAGCCTGGTGGATTTTAGCGACGCAGCTTAAACTTCCAAGACATCAGCTAGAACTTACTCCTCGGAGGTGAACTTGTTCTCCTTGAAAGCAGTCATGAACTTGGGAGACAGGCGGAAGGCACGCAGGCTCAGGCTTCCCTGGGCGCTACGGCTGACATCGTGCACCAAGGCGACTGTACGCTCGTTCATCTCCTTCTGGTAAAAGAACTGGTTTTCGATCACGTTCATGTTGACAAAGTTGCCCATGTTGGCGCTGGTGTACCATCCGACGTTCTGGGCGTCAACGTTGACCTCGCGAAGCATCCGGACCATCTCGGCCTGGTAGACGGCGTTGGCCTTCGCACGGGGAGCAGCGGCGGCCGGGTTGGGGGCGGCGTTGTCGAAGTGCGACTCGGCGGGCATCTCAACGACGGGGAAAGGGAACGAGTTGGTGATCTCCAGGGTGCCGTTGACATCCATACCAACAATCGAACCGGTCGCAGTCGTGGGGAAAGATTGCGAGCCGTGCTTGATGATTTTCATCACCACCTAATGGCGAGAACCGTCAGCATCATGACCGACCGGGCTTTCTAAAGCGGGGGGGGAGGGTGGTGAGGAAGATTTTCAGGGTGGTGGTGGTGCATACCAAGGCCTCGACCTTGACGGCCGTGAGAGGAACTTCTTTCCTGTAGGGTTTAACATTAGTTTCGTCCTTGGGTCAAGACTCGAGAAATTGCAAGAGCACTTACTCCGCCATTTTGAATGCAGCAGCCCAGAGTATACGTGTATAGACGGCGACGATGGGTTGAACGGCGGCGATGGTTTGTGTGGATGGAATTCAGCATTTGCTCCCACCGCCTAACCCCTGATTGGGATTAGCGTGCCAAGCCCCATAGGAGCAGTCAGCGCCGCTGCCCAAACGGGCAATATCTTTTGCGGCGTGCAAGTGGAGTGACCACATGAGTCTCTCTCTGTCTCTTCACTCAATCTTGGATGGTCGATGGTCTTCATTACCTACTGGCCTGACATCCACTGATTCAGGACTATAAGGCACCAACAGAATGTTTTAGTGAAAGTATCATGTTGGGTTCGCGATAAGCGCGGCCATTGCTCCACAGACAAACCGGACGCCACGCTAACCAGAAACTCAACAGCAGCACTGGGCTTCTTCCATTCCATCATCATGACTCCTGTGAACTGATAACCCAATTTCTCTTTTCTTACTCCGGTCCCCTCCCAATCATCTCATCCTAAACCCCTTCCTTTCAATGTCTATCACCGCTATACCCCCAGTCATTGATCCAATGATCCCTGAAACCTTTTCCTACGGGACCAACCATGTCCTCCAAACCGTGACAGTGACCACCTTATCGGCTCTCCCCGACAAAGGCTACTGGGTGATGTATGTTCCCCCCTTCCATGCCTCCCCCCCCCCCCCCCAACCAACCTACCTCAATATACACACCTTCCCATTCCTTCCACCCTACCCACCGCAAAGAACCCAACATCCAAACACCCTCCCTCACTCACTCACTCACAATAATGTGAACCAGCTGCATCCACGGCGGCGCCTGGCGCGACCCCACGCAATCGGCCCTGAACTACCTGACGCCGGCGGTCTCCATCCTCGCGGCCTCGGAGCCCTACGCCTCGACGACGCACGCCCACCTCGCCGGCTTCGCCTCCATCAACTACCGCCTGAGCCCGCACCCGGACCACCCGCAGGACCGCAACAGCACCACCCCGACGGAATACCGCGCCGCGCGCCACCCGGACCACATCGCTGACGTGCAGGCCGCGCTGGCCTTCCTGCAGCGCAAGTACGGCTTCGGGGACCGCTACATCCTCGTCGGGCACAGCTGTGGCGCCACGCTGGCCTTTCAGTCGGTTATGGGCTCGTTCCGCGGTAACCAGACTACCACTTCCAATAATGGGCTGGTTGATGGGGATGGGCATGGTGATGGGCATGGTGATGGGCATGGTGATGGTGGGGATGGTGTCGTTGACGGGAGTGGAGGGCTCGGGCTCGGGCTCGGGCTCGGCGGCGGGTCGGTGGCGATGGGGCCCCAGGCGATCTTGGGGACGGCGGGCATCTATGATCTGCGGGCGTTGCGGGATGATCATGTGCAGATCGCGGCGTACCAGCAGATCATTGAGGGGGCGTTTGGGGAAGAGGAGGCGCTGTGGGATGCCGTGTCGCCGGCGGCGGTGAGGGATGAGCGGAATGGTGTGGTGGGCGGGTGGACGGCCGGCCGGTTGGCGGTGCTGGCGCATTCGCCGGACGATGAGCTGGTCAATGCGCGCCAGCACGAGGTAATGAGCGAGGCTTTGAAGCCTTGGGTTGAGGCGGCGGCGTCTTCTTCGTCTCAAGGCGGCGGCGGCAGCAGCAGCAGCAGCAGGAGGAAGGTCGAACTGCTTCCCATCAAGGGGGCGCATGACGACTGCTGGGACAAGGGGATCGAGCTGGCGCGGGCCATTGCCTTCACGCTGGACAAGCTGCTGGAGTTACAGGAGTGAAAGAGAGAGAGATTTGAGAATGTTTCTTGTACTGTATATACGGAGCTTCATACACGACTTATAGACTCACGTGAAAATGCATTGACGGCCTGCTTTTTTTTTACACGTTGGCGTTCGCTACGGACCGTACATTTACACAAGACGAATGAAGCCCGTTGGAGAACAATGCAGTCCTTTATAGAGTCTTTCGCCAAGAGACGGACGGACAAGAAGAAGCCAGGTGAGATTCAACCAAGCCAGATCGAAATGTATATCCTGAAAGCCTGTCGGCCGGGAAAGAGAAACTAGTTCACATCAGAAGAAGATAAGAAACATACCCGCCATCTCCGAAAGACTTCCAACGCCACCAGTGTGATTTCATAATCATAAATGCAAAGCAGATGAGATATAATTTGTTGCGGAACCCACCCCCTCCGTCACACTCCTGCGATTTTTCAAAAGACATTAAAGCAAAGGACGATATAAGAGGGGGAGGGGATGGGGGGAGAAAGAGGAAAAGGGACCAACCCTTGAGATGCATGTGGGTGGTTGCGAAGAAAGGATGTAATGCAATTGAAATATATGATAATGGAAGGAAATAACTCCATTCTCAAGGGCGGGAAAAACTGTGCAAACCAGACGGGATGAAGAGACGAAGAGAGAGAAGAGGCGCTGCTATGCTTTAATTGCCGAGATCCATGCGGCCCGAAGCAGCGTCACCGATAACCTTCTCCTCTTCTTTGGTGTCCGAGATCGCCTCATCATCGTCGTCTTCCAGATCATCTTCGCTGTCGTCTTCTATGTATTTGACCTCTACTCCAACATCGCGAAGAGTCGTCTTCATGTCTTCGCGATACTGATCCTGCCAGCGAGCCAAGGCAGCGCTGGCGTGCACCTTGAATCCGAACACGCGCGGCTCATAGCGACGAATGCTCTTCTCCGGCATCAGCGCAGGATACACCTGGAAAAGCATGCTGTGGAAAGAGGTGCCGAAGTAGGCTCCGTCGATGGAGGCGTGGCGAGACGACTTCGGGTGATAGACGTCCTCGCACTTGGCGCAGTAAAGACGGACCGTGCTGATATTGGGCGTGTCGTGCTGGCCCATCGGCAAGAGGGGGTGGCCCTCGCACATGACTCGGGGACATTTGCCGAAATCGCCGCGCTTTAGTTTATCGACCTATTTCCCAGTGATTAGAGACGGCGGTGGCTTCGCAACTTCAGCGTCTTACCATCTTTGCAAGCCCGCGAGTGGTGACAATGTATCTCGCATGGACCAGGCCGTAAAGGTGGCGTGCTGACTTCTCAATCTGCTCGCGAAGATCGTCGTCTGCGTCGAGATCGAAGACATCCGTCACTAGGTCCAAGGCGTACTGGTAGTATGCGACTTCGGTGTTCAGGCCGGTCAAGTTAAAGCGATCCGTGAGGTAATCCTCGTCGATTTCGCAAAAGTATTCATTGCCACGAGAGGAGATAAACTTTCCAGAGGTAGTCAGTTACGGGCTCTCAGCAATCAAGATGTTGTTGGCGCCGAAGGGTTTGGGCTTTGAAAAACGAATGGACAGGGTTCGATGCAGGAGCAGAGAGGCACCAAGACAAGATCTCGGGTTGAGATCGATATATCCGATGCATCTGGAGGCCTTCCCGGGGACAGCGAAGACAGAATTGACTGAGAAAAGCGGCCCCTCAGCAACTTTCAAGAAGGTACCGTCGCAACTTCATTCGCAATTCCGGGCATGATGACGTCCCCAGGTGTAACTGTCAAGTCGCACTCATTCACCAGCATCGAGCCGCCGTCCACTTCGCTCACGTCGACGAGGTGGGGGCAGGTGTGGTGGGGGGAGGGGCGCCTTACCCAATCTCTCCAGTAGCTGGTGTAGTCGCTGTCAGTTTCACTGTTGAAGTCCTCCATCGTGTCTGTGTGACGGCAAATCGAGAGGGGTACGATCGGAAGATATTATGTGATTTGTTTGCTCAGACCCGTAGCAATTGCTTGAGACCCGGTCGAACACCTCCAGCACAGGAGAGTCCCCAGAACAGTACCGAGTGTGTCTTTTCCTATCGAGTCATGTAATATTTGGGAGCGTTTCAGGAGAGACGGCGGAATGCGGGAAGTAGTAAAGTGAATGAATGAGCTTCCAGGTCAGGATAGTTGCAGTGTGTGAATCTCCATGTGGATGGACTGTTATCAGTGGATCGGATCGCCCTCCTTCCAGCTTAGCGCGGGGTTGGCGGTGGGCTTTTTGACAGACGCTAACTGACCGCCTTGCTGCTCTGTCCATCGCTCTCAAACATCCTGCTCCTCACCAGGTGACTCTTTACGTCTTTACATGTACCAGAATGTGTTGATACTGGCTGAAGAACTGATCATGTAGTAGGCTGTCTGGTTATATAATTGCTTCAGTGGTTGTCACAGTATTAGTTGCTAGCTTACAACATGAGATTCCGATCTACCAAGCGATGTTATATACATCTCGAGTAATAGAAGCAGCTTATCGGAGAATTGCAGGTTGACATAGCTGTTGGGAATCGCCGATCCGCATGGCAGTATCCCGAAGCGCGGGGACTTTTGGCTACAAATCAAAGCAGAGACTTAATATTGACAAAAGCAGCACGGGTATGCCTGTGCCAAGGGACGGAGTCCTCTCCAAAAGGTCGTCGCCGCCGGCTCAAACTATTGATCGATGTAGCCTCGCGACACAAATACCTGGCTTAAAGAGTCATGCGAAGCATCACTGACAATACCTGGGAGGAGGTAAAGTGCATTAAAGGAGATGAAATTTGGAAACATTCAAAGAGTTAATTGAACTCGAAATGACAATAGTGGTATATATGTTAGATATGAGCGCATCAGGTAGATGGCTGGTATTTCCGAATTGCGCAAGCATACTCGTGATTCACCCAAGTACTTGTTTAAAAAACGCAAGGAAAAAACGCAAGGAAACGAGAAATGACTGTGTAAAGCTGTACAGTTTGGCATGTGCTTCAGTATCGCGCAGCCGTATCGCACTCAGCAATGAACTTGCGAATTCCGTCCGAGCCTTCGTATTCGGAGGCGGTACCAGGAATCCCACTGCTCAGGGCCTCGGGGAAGTAGGCGTGGTCTCCGAGCTCGCTGACGTTAATGCTGGAATATCCCGACAAGGGTGACGCCCAGGGATTTTTGGCAAATATGGTTACATCCTCAAAGCTTATCTGGTTAGAGGACTGTTTGTGCACACTAGACGACGCGTCGCTGATTTGCTCGGGAGACATCATGGCATGCCAATCGACTTCTTCAGGAGCCTGGGACTTCATGGACTGAGGTTTGTAGAAGTATTCATCGACCTGCGGAGACGCTGGGACGCTTGGAGCAAATGGGAACAGGAGAGCAAGATCAGCACCCGTACGAGTGTTGAAATCCTCATCTTGCATGATTTTGCCTCGTTGAATACCTGCTTCGTCACAAAGCCTCTCAACAGTTTCAGCATCGCAACCCGGAAACCGTACTCTAATCGTAGACCGGTCGTGGAGTATGACGGGCAAGTCGCCTAGAGATTTCAAACGCTTGAGATCATTCAGGACGACAGCCAGATCCTTGAGGGTCCGGGCAAAGTCGGCAGACAGCAAATCCAGGAGGCCCTCCGAGTTCAGCGTCTGATCATCGCAAGTGCTGGTGGCAGCCAAATTCTTCTGCAGGCCGAAGGCAGTGATGGTTGGAGATATCTGGAAGTCGATGAAGGACCCAGGGGCCGTGCGAGGAATGCCAGTCATCTTGCGCTCAGCTTCATCCTGAAGCTTGCTGACGGTCTTGTACCGCTTGTTCCCGGTGATAGGATCGACCCCATCAAATCGAGCCTTCTGCCCTGAGAGGAAGAACGCACGCACACCCATTGACACATTGTTGATGACCTGAGCCGGTGCAGCCGGGCCATGTGAGAAATATCGTGCACCGCCAATGCGGCCGGCGCCAATTGTATAACCTCCGGCCGTGCGGCCCAACGTACCACCGGTCAAGTTCGGGCGGAGAGCGGACGCGAAAGGAGCACGGGTTGTCAACCGGCTAATATTGGAGGCAACAGAAGATACCTTCGCTGTCGCAGTACGGTCTGCTTGAAGACCACTACGGAGATATGAGACGAAGGAACCCGCCGCACGAGTCGAGAATTGGCGACTCCGGGCTTGACGGATGGCAGCCGCTCGATTGATAGGTTGTCTGTGAGCAACCCTAATGTATTCAGGTTGAAGACGGAGCGAACCCTGAGGGATTTGGTCGGGAAACTTTGACCTTAATGTTTTACAGGCCTTCTCGTAGGCAGACCTAATTAGGGGAGCATTAGTATTAGGGTACGCTGGAAGCAAGAACTATGTGGCAAATGACTCACCTGGCTGCTCTCCAGACCTTGGGGAGCAGCAGGTGCCCGTTAGAAGGCGGCATCCTGACTGCAACAATGGATAAAGTTATGAGCGAGTAGATGATGGATTAACCATCTCCTGATGATTGAAGGAAGAAAGGAGATAAGAGGATGACGGGTCCGGGGGATGGATGATGTGACACGGCGAGGGGACGGATATCCATGATGCCGAGTGGCGGTGCTGCATGTGATCCGGAACCACGTGCCCCGAAGGGGAGTGGTTCGATGATGATGTGGCGACCAAACACCAACCTGCAACTGTTTGGTCTAATTGTGTGATGTTGATCGTTCGGGCTTTTATAATTCTACTCCTATCCTCAAACAGCCGGGCCGGACAACGAAATGCAGTTATCACCACCACAGTGTAGGAAAGCGCACCCGAATCGCTTCGGCCCCGCCTTTACCCCGCAAACGTCCTCTCAATCCAATGTAAACATCGCCTTTCACATCGAACAATGCTGCGCGCTCAGACAACACTTAGAGGGACAATTAAGATAATCTTGGCGGAAATGTTCAAAAACGATCAATTTATTCTATTACCGGCAAGCTATCATGCTTCTATGGCTTCAAGCATTTGACCGAACTTATATACATTGAATCTAGATTTTAGAACTTCTTTCGCCTCGCGTCATGTCGGTCAGTCATTCGTCATCTCCGAAGAACACCTTGACAGGGAGCCAGCTGTCTCCGCAAACCTTGAAGCGATCCTTCAAGTTGTCCAGCTGGTTGACCTCCTCCTCAGTCAGGTCCCAGCCGTCGAGCTCGAAGTTGGCGTCGATGCGCTCCTTGCTGACCGACTTGGGAATGACACTCCAGCCCTTGTTCAAGCCCCATACCAGCAGGACCTGCTGGGGGGTCTTGCCCTTCTTCTCGGCAAGGTCCAACAGGGTCTGATCTTTGTAGAGAGGAGAGTTCGTTGAGCCGAGGCAAGAGTAACCGGTGGAGTGAATGCCCTTCGAGGTGTTGTAGGCGACCAACTTGGGGGAGGGGTTGTTGGGGTGCAACTCAATTTGGTTGACAGCGGGGACGATCTTGGTGCTGGGGTCGTTCAGAAGCTTCTCCAGGTTCTTGATGCCGAAGTTGGAAACGCCGATGTTACGGACCTTGCCGGTGGCGGGCAGCTTCTGCATCTCTTGCCTAAGATTCCGGACTAGTCAGTACCCACTCGCTAATGCCGGGTCTACAAGGGTGATAGCTTCGTACCAGGTCTTGATGAAGTCCCAGTCGGGAAGATGCTTCGAGGTGTCGTTGGGGTCGGTCGCGCAAGGCCAGTGAACAAGGTAAAGGTCGACGTAGTCCACGCCAAGACTCTTGAGAGAAGAGTCAATGCCCTCGGCGACGCGGTGGTGCCAGGTGTTGTTGAGCTTGGTCGTGATCCAGATCTCCTCGCGAGGGACCCCAGAGTCCTTGATACCCTGACCGACCTCAGCCTCGTTGCCGTAGGCGAGGGCACTATCACCGCCGAAAACCATTAGTATGAGGGTCAAACACGGTTCTTAAATCAATCACAATACTCCACTTACGTGTCGATATGGCGGTAACCCTTCAGAAGGGCATTCTTGACGGCCTCTCTGACCTGGTTAGGACCGCTCTGCCATGTGCCCAAGCCAACAGCGGGGATCTTATCACCCGTATTAAGGGTGTACGTTTTCCTATGAGGCCAAAGTGTAAGTTAACGTCGATGGAATTTCCCCGAGGGGAGCTAGCTTACTTGGTGTGCTCGAGGTTCGACATTGTTACTTTTCCTTTTGGATGGTACTCGGGGAAAGAAACAATGCAGTTGAATCAAATGTTTAGAGGAGGGAAGAATTGAAGGAAGGAAGGAAGAGAAACAAGGAGAAGCCGTCCCCACAGATGGAGGCAGGTTGACTTTATAGGCTTGGGGAGGAGGGGAGGGGCTGAGTGCCCGCTCACTCTGAGAGCCGATAGACGATAATGATGAAGAGGCAGGGCAGGTCCATCCAGCACGCTATGCGCGGAACGATGACGATAGTCAATCGGGGGTCGCGGGGTCCGTTCAATACTGGTGGGGTCTATTCATCGACGGGCTCCCAGGGCTCTGTCTCTGCCGGTCATTTCTAATTGCAATCTGAAACCGATAACTAAACCAATTGGGTCGGTTATCTTGTTCTCAATTCGTTATCGCATGCAATTAGCCGCTCAGCATGAGGGTCCCAAGCATCCATACTACAAAATCAGGCAGTCAGTTCACCGTGCCACATACTTCAATTGGAACAAGTTTACTTGTTTACCTGTTTACTTGTTTACTTGTACTACTATCCAGAGATTAGCTTGCCAGTAGGTTCTGTGGTACAGTACACAGTAAACCGGACATAACCATTTAACCGAGTTCTAGAATGTCAAACCTGGAATCTCAAAAGAACTAGCCGAGCGTATGTAGATTTAAATCGGCATCATCCACAAAGTAGAAAGCATACCTCCTCGTATGCAGACCTTGGTCTCGTGTAAAATCAACATTATTAATTATTTCCGGTCCAACCACCGAGAATCGGTTCGGCATCGAGGCTGCCCGCCGCGCAGCCATGCACCTGCGGGATTTTGCCTAAACTCGTTTGCTCCGCTTTGGTGGGGCTCCGCGTTTGAAAAGTCCAATCAACATCAGATTTCCAGGCCTCACCGCTTGATTCTGCCCGTCCACTGTGGCTCCCTCTCCAGAACGCGGTTGAAGCCGGAGAAGATCACAATCCAACGGTGACTCGTTGGCGCAAGCAAAGTGATTTGTCGATTGACTGGACATCGTCTGAAACTCACAGTTACTCAGTAGCAAGGCGCTCATTCATCACAGCCAGCACAAGGAGATAGCCTATGGTCAAGCCACACTGCCTCCCTTGAACCTCGAAAACATCTTCCATCCCCGCGGAGAAGTCGAAACACCCTTGCCGCGAGGGTCGATACTTTAATTATCTTACAACCCTTCCAGAATGTCGTCTGGATTTGTATCCGCAGGGACAGATCAAGAGCCCGTCGAGCGCAATGATGAATGGCACCGAGTGCAGCAGGAGCTCGAGGAGGAACGCAGGCGCAAAGCAGAGTTGGGAAAACAGGATGGAGGGAAGAGTCTGTTTGAAGTACTGCAGCAGAACAAGAGTGAGTTAGATCAAAATCACGACACTCGCTCGGCGAGGTCCACGTCGTGCTTTCGAACTCCCTGGATTGACATGTTAGGATGATCTATCTTCGTCTGTGTAGTGGCCAAGCAAGAAGCCTTCGAAGAGAAGATCAAGCTGAAGAACCAATTCCGATCGCTGGACGAAGATGAGGTTGAATTCCTGGACTCGATATTGGAGTCGACGCGAGCGAAAGAGGCCGCCGTGAAGAAGGAGACTGCCGAAGGTCTAGAGTTGTTCCGTCGCCAGCGGGAAGAGGCAGAAAAGACCCTTCTCGAAGATACAGCTGCCGACGTGGTTCCGGCAGCGGAGGGAGAGGATTGGAAACTGCCTGCGCGGAAACGACGACGCGAGAAGAGCAAGGACCTTCTTGTCCCCGGGAAAAAACGCAAGTCTTTGAGTGGCGACTCCGCAGGAAGCCCTAAAGGCGAGCAGGCACCCCCAACTACCTCCAAAGAGCCTCGGGCGGATGAATCACTGCCAAAATCTAAATCACCTCACAGACTCACCGAAACGCAAAAGCCCCTGAGTGCTGCGGAAAGTGCTGTCAGCCCCGGGGAACCCGTGGGAAAGAGTCCGAGCACGAACTCGCCAGCCCAGAAGCCAGCTGCAAATTCATCGTCACTGTCTCTCGGCCTGGCAGGTTACAGTTCAGACTCGGAATAAACTCGATGTTCTCTGGGTGAATATCATGGCTATCTGTATAGCCTGTACGACTCGACACTCCCCCCTAATAGTTTCGTGATGCTTGCCATGGCTTGCATTTACCCGCATAGCAGGTGATATCTAATTGAAAATCAAGAAATTCTGCTACAGAGCATCGTCAGAAGATTATAGCTTCAAGAGTCAAAGGGCAAATGCCCTCTCACGATATAATATCCTGGAAAAAGATATACTTTGAACGATCGCCTGGTAGTCTTGTTAGCAAAGCTGTGAAGGTTGTAAGGCTTTTGCCCAGATGAAGCGGGCTAAATCCATCATTGACTAGTGAGGCTGTCCTTACGCAATAGCAGGCGTGAAATACGGAAGCATAGCTCATCATTCTGTAGGATACATGTGATATGCTGGGAGCCTTGCGCATGTCAATGAGTCCTCGTCATTGCAGTACAGCCAATGTACTGGAGCTCGGATGACGAGCTCATTCATAATTAGCTCGATGCTCGATCTACAAATTCTATCAATCTTATATAGCGCATCCATGTTGATTTCCCCCTCACTAGGAGTCATAAAGTCAGGTATTTTCGGTAAAGCATGAAATCTTGGGAGACGACCATGTGACTTCCCAAGATAAAAACATGACTCTTTACACACTGCAAGAATCCATCATCTTTATCAGTACGCCTTCCAATCCACGATCTCGGTGAGAGTATCACGGGGTATTATTGAAGTCACTACCTACTGCAACACGCTGACTATTACTCAGGAGGTCAAAGGCTCCCTGTCTTACTATAGGACTCTTATTGTCCTCTCATGTCTCTACGCTGGGGTGCAAGACTTGCCGGAAGCAAAGACACAACACCCCGACCAACTGCACCAAGGAAAGCAAGGTTTACGCTTCAGTCTCAGCGTGCGTGGCAAAGGCACCTCTCTTCTCCTCCTGCTCTTCAACACGGCGCTCCAAGTCGTGGGAGACATAGTCCTCCTTGCGAGTGCCCACCACGATCCAGGGCGAGTTGGAGAAGAGGTAGTTCATCTCCTCAAGGGGGAGCTTCTTCGTCTCGGGAAGAAGCAGCCAGAAGAAGATCGCGTTCGTGAAGTTGCAGATGATGAAGAGGTAGTAGTACCTGTAGCGCACGCTCTCCATGGCGATCGGGGTGACCTGGCCGATCATGGTGTTGAAGGCGTAGGAGACCATGCAAGCCAGCGACACACCCTTCGAACGGGTCCGGGTGTCGAACACCTCGGCCGGAATGATCCACGACAGGGGACCGCAGGTACAGGAGAAAGAGAAATTATACAGCCAGGTCATGATGATGAAGCCCCAGTGCGCGCCCGTGTTGTTGACCTCCGGCGGGAATTTGGCCAGCAGCGCACACGCGACGATGAAGGTGACGCAGTTGCCCAGGTTGCCACCGATCAGAGTCCAACGACGACCGAACCGATCGATGTACAGGATGCAAAGGAACTGGGCGATCAGGGCGATGATCGAGTTGATAGCCTGATAGCGCAGCGTCTCGTCGCCCGAAATGCCAATCTGCTCATAGATAGTCACGGAGTAGTACCTGCCGAATTGCGACTGGTTAGCTCTATACTCTGCGTCCCCAATTGCGCAGTGCTGGATGGACTCACTGGATGGCAGATACACCGGTCATCTGGACAGACGCCTGGATAGCACAGCAGAGGAAAAGACGACGGAAGGAAGAGCGGGACGTGAAGAGTTCCGCGTAGGACTTGGCTTCGTTCTCATGTTCGAACTTGATGCTTTCCTGAATCTGCTGGTATTCCGCACGCACCCACGCGTCATCTTCGTTACCATGAGCGTGGAGTTGGGCCAGGGTTTTCAGACCCAGCTCATTTTTCCCATGGTCAATGAGCCAACGAGGAGACTGGAGTTTTGTTAGTGAGTTGTGCTTGATTACCAACAGTCGACCAGAGGTGCAAGGTTCTTACCTCAGGGAAGAACATGATGAGAAGGCCCAGACACACCGCCGGTGCGATCTGCAGACCCAGGGGCAATTGCCATTGAGCATCGTTGGTGTCAGAGAAGCCGATGTATGTGCCATACGAAATCCAAGCAGCACAGAGGGAGCCAACACCGAGCATGAATTGCTGAAGGGCAGTGACTCGCCCACGGATGTTGGGATGACAGATCTCAGCTTGGTACAAGGGGATAATCATGGTAAGGAAACCGACTCTGCAGACCAGGACAAAATCAGTAAATGCTCTACAATCGCTCCAGACTTTACTTGGATACTTGCGGTGTAAACATACCCGAGACCAGCAAAGAATCTTCCGCTGTACAAGTACGCGATAGTCTGAGCTCCTGTCTGAAGACCTCCGCCAAGGCAGAAAATGATACAACCGATCGTGATGGTCCATCGTCGACCCAGCTTATCACCAGTAGGACCTGCAAATGCTGCACCGCAGAAAGCACCTGCAGTGAACATGGAAACAACGAGACCTCTGGAAGGCTGTCAGTGGCATACGCCTAATTCTGGCCGTGGTCGAACTCACTGTTGGGTGCTATCGGCTTCAAACTTGGCGATGAAAGATCCACTGGCGATGACCTCGGCAATCACACCCAGATCGTCTGCAACCATGCACATCAGTTCCGATCAAGCGAATGAATAGTACATGGATATCATCTATACATACATCCATAAAGGAACGAGCCGAGAGAGGCGAAGACACCGACCAGGAACTGGTGAGAGCAAGGACGTTAAAAACCCGGCGCTTAGCCATGCGTTGGATCTTCCTCAGGACTTACCTGGTACCATGCCGGAGAGAGACGCATGTTGAAGGGTGGGAATCCGCAATGAACACAGTGGATCCAGTGGATTTGATCATTCGCTGAGGAAGATCACAGACAAAAAATGCGGAGATTCCACCCCCAGGTTCAGGGTCCTGTGGGCTTTTATGAACACCTGGGGATGACAGCCACGCAACCCACGTGTAGGCCCAGAATCTGGGGCATTAGGGTTTTCCGAGCTCGCCTCCATCGGAACATGATCATGGCATCGTGACTTTTCCCAGTTCACGCAAAGACCGGTGGAGGATTCATTATGAAGCATCAGTCGGCAGACACGACGCTTTGGGGATTCTACCGAGACAGGGTTATTTTTTTTCTACTTGCTGGCCCAAGTCCAGCCTGCTCGAGATGCAAGACTCATAACACCTGCGGAGTCAATCAACTCAACATGCCATGCATGACCTATCGCCATGTGTGGTCTGGTGTAGCCAAGCAACGCTTGTAGAAAGCGGGATGGCAGTACATCAACTTCCACTCCAGAGACGCATGCTGATTGACGGAAATTAGCCGTGGCGTTGCCTCGGCTTCATCCTCCAAGCCAACGGCGTCGAAACCTCTCGCTTGCATCCCCATCATGCATCCTTGCTGGCCTGCCCTCTTCTGAGTTCGGTACAACTCCGGATCAACCCCGCAGGGGATTTGCCCGATTCATCCTGCCCGCTCCCCATTGCTTCAGCACATTAATATTAGTTGCCGGGCTCTCTCTGCCATGGTCAACAACAATACATTGATTGAGTGTGTTTCGGGCAAAGGAAGAGTCCTGCTTATAGTCCCTTGGGTACATTTTCTCTTGTTTTCATACCAATCGGATCTCGCGATTCTCAACCTTCTCTTTCCTGCTATTTTCCCTTTGCCGCCATGACCACCTTCACGAAGCTTAACGACCAGGATGCGCCTAGTATTTCCATCCATCCAACAAGGCGCATTTCCAAGATCAACCCCAACATCTATGCTGGCTTCACAGAGTAAGCTCCCGGATTGGTTACAGCCCCAGTGAAATAGTGCGGCTAACACCTCCGAAAAGGCATATGGGTCGATGCATCTACGGGGGCATCTACGACCCGGGAAACAAGCTGTCGGACGAGAATGGTTTCAGAACAGATGTGATCGAGGCCCTGAAGGACCTAAACATCCCTGTCGTCCGCTACCCCGGTGGCAACTTTATGGCAACCTACCACTGGATCGATGGTGTTGGCCCCAGAGAGAACCGGCCGTCCAGGTATGTTGTCGCTGCCTTGAATGCTTCACTTTTTTTGCCTTCCTATCGTGCCTACTGTCTTTCGATCACGTTTCATTTATTTGTCTTTGACTTTTGTCTCTGTTTTGGATTGCTTCGACTGGCATGTCCCTTTTGTACTGACTGCGAGCCTGCCCTGCTTAGGCCCGAATTGGCCTGGCTGGGGACAGAGACCAATCAATTCGGAACAGACGAGTTCATGAAGTGGTGTGAAGTACTCGGAACCGAGCCCTACCTCTGCCTGAACTTTGGAACTGGTAAGTGACCGACTTTTCTCATTGTCGAAAAGCCTTACTAATCGTATTATAGGTACTCTTGATGAAGGTATATCTCCCCCCATAACTTTTAGCCTTCTGGTTAGGGCCTCAAATCTAACACATTCATGCAGCACTTGCTTGGGTCGAATACTGCAACGGCACCCGGGACACTTACTATGCCAACCTTCGCCGGAAGAATGGTCGTGAGGAACCATACAACGTAAGTCAAATAGTCCATGCCTATAATTCTTTATATGTCATTCTAATCAATCCAGGTGAAATACTGGGCCCTCGGGAACGAAGTCTGGGGACCATGGCAGGTTGAGCAAATGACTCAGGAAGCGTACGCCCACAAAGCCTACCAATGGGCCAAAGGTAGCTAGCTCCTTGCATCTCAAACATGACTACAAGATGATTCGAAGATACTGACAATGATCGAACTTAAAGCTCTTAAGCTCCTCGACCCTAGTCTTGTCCTAATTCTCTGTGGTCAAACCGGGTTTGCCTCGTGGGATCACTACACCTTGAAGCACTGCCTTCTCCCCGCTCACTCCGAGCTCTCCACCAGCGCCGTGCCCTTGATCGATATGCACAGTATCCACCTGTACACGACCTCGGATTCCCACCTCCCCAATGTCACCGCGCCGCTGGCGGGCGAGCGGGCCATCGAGATCACCTCCTCGCTGATCGACCTCGCCATGATCGAGAACAACGTGCCGCCGTCCCAGCCCCGGCCCACCATCTGCTTCGACGAGTGGAACGTCTGGGACCCGATCCGCGCCGAGGGCAGCAAGGGCGCCGAGGAGTCGTACACGCTGTCGGACGCGCTGGCGGTGGCCGTGTGGCTGAACGTGTTCGTGCGCAAGAGCAAGGACGTCGGCATGGCGTGCATCGCGCAGAGCGTCAACGTCATCTCGCCGCTGATGACCTCGCCGGACGGCATCACCAAGCAGACCACCTGGTGGCCGCTGTACCTCTTCTCCAAGTACATGCGCGGCTGGACCATCAGCACGCACCTGGCCAGCGCGACCTACGAGGGCGAGACCTCGCCCAAGTGGGTGCGCAGTGTCAAGGACACCCCCTGGCTGGACGTGAGCGCCACCCTCGGCGAGGACGGCTACGTCAACGTCGCCGTCGTCAATATCAGCGAGGACCGGGACCTCGAGACCCGGCTCGACGGCCCCACCGGCCAGGTCGCCGTCTTCACCGTCACCGGCGACAACCTCGCCGTCAGCAACATGAACGGCAAGCAGGAGGTCGGCGTCACCGAGAGCACCTGGGAAGCCACGGGCTCCTACGTCTTCCCCAAGCACTCCTTCACTCTCCTGCGCTGGAAGGCTGAGTAAAACAAGCCCATCCCAAAACAAACCAACCTTCGCATCTTTCCCCTCCCAAACCCCAAATCCAACTGCGAAATTAGATAGAAACGAAACGGCCACCCCCAAGTCAATGACAATATTACATCCTCATTCATATATAGCATTAAAAACCCACGCAGTACATAAATCCCATCATATTATCATACCATCGAGGCCCGCAACGAGCAAACACAAATCATAACCATCATCCACACCCATCCAAAGATCCACCCCAGCACTTCAACCATAGTTAACATTATGGACCGTCCCGCTCTCATCCACATGGATATTCAACCTGTAATCCCCCGCCAATGTCAGCCACATCTTCCCAGACACGACCCCCAACCCTCCCCGCCGAAAACGAAAAAGAATCAACCTACCGATCAGGGTTATGATCCATGGTCGTCGCATCCCCCGGCTTAACGATCCGATGAGTCTCCGGCAGGTCTTTCTTGGCGAATGACTACACCAGTTTAAGAGGACGGTTAGCGTTCGTTCTATTTCCCCCATAAGTCTAGATGTTGTTGCTTAGGGTATGGTCCGGTTTCAACTGGGTCATATCGCCAAGAAACTGTCCAGGGCCAGGGCCAGGGCAATACAGGGTGGAGGAGGGGGGAGGGGAAGCTCACGTTCACGTCGCTCGATCCCTCGGTGACGGTCTTGCCCATTAGTTTGTGCGACCAGTCATCCTGGCTCGAGCCGCCGCTGGTGTTGTTGATGCCGGGGATGACGAGGGGCATGGTGGTGTTTTGTTTTGTTTTGTTTTGTTTCCGTTAGGTGGCTGTGAGAGATATATCTATTGAGGTGGAAGAGGGGTTATGTAGTGATGTGTTGAAGGGTTGAATATTCCTAGTTTAGACTTCTAAGTGATTTGAAGAGAAAATGGGAGAAGAGAGGGGTTAGGCTGCGATGTAGAAGTGAGAGTTTAAATATATTTAGTTTGGGAGTATAGAGCCTGCCTGCCTGTGAGTCGACTTGACTTATCTGAAATGACATCATAGTTGAGATGACGGATGGATGTGGCGTCACCTCTACAATCCGGGGTTAGACACGGTATAACTACTACGAGTAAGCATCTGCATACAGCTATGTAATTACCTGGTGGTTCACGTGCTTATGCACGGAGACGGTTTTGTCTAGCTTGGTATTGGCGCAGAAAGTACTATGTAAGAGGACTTCGCAGATCAAGAATCGATTCACTTATTACCGGACTGTACCGTAGCTTCTACATGGAATTGTTAAGGATAATCTATAGTCACTTGGTGAAAAGTAGTTTGCATGGCCCCACTACTCATCACCACTTCCCCACAAGGCATAATATGACAGGCAGGCAGGCAACGACGCCGCATCGCATTATTGCATCTCATGCACACTCCTCAAACACCGCTCAAGCCTCTTCCCACGTTCCTTCTCACGGACCAAAGTGGCCTTGACAAATGAACGAATCGCGTCCCGCCCAATCTTCTCTCGCCAAGAAGTCCAGCCCGCGAGTTCCCCGACCACTACATCCTTGTTCCACGTGATCTCGCGAGAGAGACGCGCCACTTGCGCTTCGGATTCCTGGATCTTGCTCTCCAACTCACGGACGGACTTTTGTCGCGACTCTTCTAGTCCGGGAAAGTTGAGGTTGAATTTCCGTGGAAGAGAAGACGAGAGCAGGGACGAGCGAGATCGAGAGAGGTTTCTGTTCGTGGAAGCTAGATTGGAAATGAGCCCAATTGGGCGGGAGAGGGAGGCGAGAACAGCTGTGGTGTTGTTGTCAATGGAGGTGAAAGCGGCGACAAATTGGAGTAGCGGGGATGAGTCAGAGGATGAGGTTGAGAGACATAAAGCGTAGCGGATAAATGCCTCGACATGAGACTGAGGGAGTGCCTGCGTCGGTTCCTTAAGAGTAGAGATGGAGGTGGAGCAGAGAGCTAAAGCGTCTGCCATATCAGACGCAGAGTTTTGCAGAGCGTGGCCACGACGAATCAGACTGCGAGTGTTCACGTGAATGGCACGAACCATGTCTTGAGCATGCGAGACAAACTGTTCGGTCTCTCTCATACTTTCCGGGGTGACTGGTGCATAATCGTCCATGATTGACTCCGCAAGGACTTGGGCCTTCCGGTGCGATCTGTCGGCCATCATGTCCGGCTGCAGCTCCGGAACAAGAAAGAATTCCCAGAGCATTTCGTGGGTCGCGAAGGTCGGATGGGATAGTAGGGCTTTCAGAAACTTGTCCAGTTTTTCTTGCATATCATGAAGCACGGAACGAGACGGCTTCGAATGGATCTGAAACGGGCTGCGGAAGTCTGACAATGATGGCATATATGAAGCGGGATGCTCGGTCGAAAGGCATCGGGCGAGGTTCTCAAAATCCGAGAAGGTGCGACGACATGTCGTAACGGTGTACGTTGTGCCTGACGCAGGTCGAGATTCCTGGGAGTCTGCAGTCGGATTAGGCGCACCGGATTTTAGAATGAATCTAACAGTTGCATCTTCAACAAAGTAGGAGCGGACAACGGTCGTCACTCGGCCCGACTGCTCATCATACACGGAAGGAGGCGTAGACAAAAGTATGAGATCATCAATGCGATTGCGAACCTCATCGTCCTTTGCCAACTCGACGGCGGTTAACCCGCGACTTTCTTTGAGGTGAACATCTACTCTAGCGTCTGCAAACAGTATTCGGACTTGGTCGATGCGTCCGTACTTACTCGCCATCATGAGTGGCGTGAATCTCTTGTCATTTGTCGCATTGGGGTCACAATCACATCCTTGTAAGATCCGTACTGTAATTTCGGGATCACTAACGATATGAAGCAACGTGTTGCCTTTCGAGTCGATATGTTCGTCAAGACGCAGGGGTCTGCCGTCTCCTTGAGCTTTCTGGGCTGCGTTCAGGGCTTCGATCACCATTGATTTATAATCAGGATGGTCGTAAGAACGGCACAAGGCGAAGAGTGGTGTTTGTCCATGCTTGTCCCGTTGGCACCATGGGAGGAGCCCCTCAAGCCTATGCATCACTGACGGGGTGCTGAACAAGTAATGAGCAACCGTACGTCCATGCATATCGGACTTCTGCATGTACGATGCGATAGTGTGCTTATCAGTCGCACTGAAAAGGTAATCCACCAGAATGTCCACAATGTCAGTGTGAGCAAGCTGGACTGCAGCACTCAGCAGTGTTGTGCCTTCTGTGTTCGAATCCTCAAGGATATCTTCCAGAGGGTAATACTCTTGCAGGCTAAGTAGGTATTTCAGAGATTCCGGTTGGCGACTTTCGACCGCCATCATGGGAATTGAATCGCCGGAAGGATCCTGCGTCCTGGTCAGAGTCTCAATAGAGCTATCGCCTTCGATTGCGCTGGTGATGGACTCCAATGTAGTTGTCCGGGATATGAGCGATATGGCAGATGACTCGGACAGGCTACGCACGTCCATTGAGACTTTCTTGATGGGACGTCGCACTTCGATTGGAGGCGAAATGTTCGCCCATGTCTGGAAGGGAAAGACGTGGGAAAGCGGGGGGGCTTCAGAGTCAGCACCAGGGGCTATCGTTCCATCATCGCCAAATGAATTAGACACGCCACCACGTATTGGTAAAGGCAAATGGGAAATAGGGCTCGAGTCCTCGTCGTCTCCTGTCTTGAAAGCCACCACCCTTTCTTCAGGTTCACAAGGGATGTCATCAATAGATTCTTGATCCCCGTTCGGTTCCAGGATTGCCTTCATGTCAACAACGCGCCCGTGCTTGGTGGCATTCCATAAGCGTTTGTTCCTGACACTCGCTCTTCGAAGGCCGGCGGAATCCGTTACCAAATAAGTAAGAACAGCCTCAAGCGTGCTCAGTGCATAGCCCATTTCACCACTGTCAACATCATCAATATAGATGAAGTGTTGCATGTACATCAAGCGGGCCTGTAGATTCTTGATTTGAGATCTTATTACAACGACAAGCAACAACGAGACGAGAATATCTGCGTTGATGGTCACAGGCGCAAATTGCTTTTCTGACGAGTGCGACTCTGTTCTGTCATAGCTGCCAGGGTAGGACAGGATCTTAACCGTCTCAAGCAAGGTATTCAACATGTCGTGAGGGCACTTGGCATCGAGCATTTTGCGGAATTCTTCAACTGCTCTGCCGAGCCTTTGCAATAACTCCCGCTTGCCCTCCCGTCCCCCTTCCACCGCAATACCCACTTGAGAGATGTCAACATATTCCATGTACCGGATTCGGGAGTCTAGTTCGGCATCCTCCGGCAGTCGAAATTTGCAGAGTCGAGGGAAGAGTAAGTTTTCATGCACCTGCTCCGCCACATAACGTTCAATGAGCCGTTCGACTAATGGGCCAGTAAGATCGGTGGTGGCGCCGAGGAAAGACAGCTGTTGTTTGTCCACCAACCGAAACAAATCAATGGCAGCAGTAACCGCTGTCTCGAGGCTGCGACGCATTAAGTCTTCGTCATCCTCGAAGTACTCCTCGGAATTGAACGGAAGTCCTTCCCTGCTGCGTGTGGAGCGAATAGAAGCAGCCTCATTGAAAGATGATTCACGGTTCTGCTTGCGTTCGTAGTCTTCAAACATCACAGGGGATCGCGATGGTGGTGGAGGTAGAGGTTTTCCGAGTTCTTTCCCAAATTCCTTGAACAGCCGTTCCAAGCCAGGTTGCATCTGTCTAGCGATCATCGGAAAGTTTGCCAGCAATTCTCCGAATGTTTTGATCTCCTTCTTCTGTGGTGAGGAGACTGGCTCGCCGGATTTGATTCCATTGCCCACGGCATTGATCTTTGGTTGTGCCCCTGGCACCACAGCAGTAATGATCCTTCCGGGGTCAAACGAGCCGATCAATGGGCGGGAGATGTAATAAATAAGCCATCGCTGGGAGTCGTTGCTGTTGGGGTAATACAACGCATCAGACACCAACTGAGCTTGGCTTAGGGACTTGAAACCTTGAGAGACGGACAATTGTTTAGCGCAAACAGGATCTCAGATCTGGAAGGGGTCTCCTTCTACCTTTATTGCTGTAGACAGAATTCTCCTTGATAATCACGGTGCGACCATTTACCGTTGTCACTTGCTTGGCCTTGCCTCTGCTGTCCCGTATATTCGAGTCATCCTTCCCCCCACCAGTCCCGGTAGCGACTGGTATACGCAAGGTATGGCTCCCAAGGAATTCTTCCGAAACAACCAGATCCGAGTAGTAGAGGGAGGACTCGCGGTCGCGCGACCCGACGAGAGATTCTGTCACGGGCACGAGGAGGACCTATACGACAAATTGTGAGAACGACGGGCTGGGCATGTGAGATGCGGGCCAAGCTGTCCGGAACGGAAACATACATGATTCTCGATGGGTATACACTGGCCCGGAACAGTGCTTCGGAAGAAGGCACGGAGGAAAGGATTTAAAGGGTGCATCCAAACGGTCTTGGACGACGGCCCGGCTCAAGGTCTCTGGCACTCATCAAGCCTTCTAGACCGGTCTCGTAGAGAGAGGGGGGGGAGGCGATCTCCGCTGCTGGATCGTCACAGATGAGCAGCTCCGGCGCATGCGCCCGCAGGTGACAACGAAGCCTTTATCAACAACGATTATGCCGGGAATAGTACGCTGTAAGGGAGAAGACAGTGCTGGAATGGTGTCAGAGATGCAAAAACGAAGGAAACGCAGCTGTATGACGATTGCAAGGCAGGAATGTGGTAAAGATTCAGCCAACAACAGCTTTCACGGAGGGTGGCAGCCCGGGGAGCTCTCCGCGCTAGACCCCTTTTGGGTATCCTCCACATTTACCTCCTACTGTAACTAACTTAGTAGTTAGTACTTACCTACAGGTAAGTTGCAGTACCTGGTATCTTAGATTCAGCCTGATAGTGAATACCTAGTACTATGTAGTATGTAAGAAGTAGAAAGCAGTCCAACAATCAACTTGGAAGTCTACATAGTATTGTCTGTATTTACACAGTTCATATTGGTTTAATGCATATAGAAAATGTCCCAAGTCGCAGTAATAGGCTGACAATAGATAGTATACATAGGCGAAAATAGGCGAAAAAGGCGAAAAGAGAACATCGTCGGTAGCGCAAGGCCTCATCGTCTCCCGATCAGGTTGTCGAGACGGTAATAGTTTCAGTGCTGTGAATCTGCAGCCAATCTCGTTGCAAGCACTGAGAAGAGAGACGCTCTTTTCAATCCAGAGAACTCCACCAGCATACAGACCTGGTGTATTACAGCATTGTACCCTTGCTCTTTCCCCGCCAGCTAATCCGGGCCCTGATATTTTGCGTCGAGTAAAAAATTATAGCTCCAGACAGAACTCCCAAAAGCGGCGAATCTCCTAACCCAGTCTCCGTACATGTCTGCTTCTCGTTCCACCAAATTTGACGCGGGTGCAATCCGATACGCGACAGATCGTGCCTCGAATGTTCTTCCCCTCATTACCCAGCAAGACCTTGGTGAAAGCGTCCCGGCCAAGTCCGAAGTCGCGGAAAACGAGTGTCATGCGTTTGATCTCCATCATATATCCCCGTTCCTGCATCTGGGCAAAGAAATGAGAGGTCAACTGGAATGCCGGGTCGAAACCAGCACGTCCACCTTTGCGAAAACCAAGATGACCGCAGCTGAGAGACATCATCGGATTGCCGTTGGGCCGAGTCAAGGTCAAGATCGTGTTGTGCTTGTGGGAATAAACATGGAGATTGTAGGGAGGAGACCGGTCGACATAAGGTTGCCCGACCATCTCGGCTTCCAGGCTACCTTGCAGCTTCTGGAAGCTGTAGGTTGTCTTCTCAGAAGACCGGCTGAGGCCTGTAGAGCCGAAGAGATCATCGAGCGTAGAGGCTTGGTTGTCGGAGTTGGCAACCTTGGGTTTCGTACCCAGAATCTGCCTTTCCAAGTCACGGGCCTCTCCAGAGGTGTTCGCCGGTTTCGCCGGAGTCGATGAGAATGGCCTTATCGAACTGAGAGGAGAAATCCGAAGCTGAAGAGGTCTGCCGATCGACGGCAGCGCCCTCGTGAGGGCACTGACAAAGGATGTGTTCATCTTGGTGTAACTTGACGCGGAGGATGTTGTTGCTGCGCAAAGGCGCTTTGCTGATTGAAGGACGATTCTGGACCGACTTCTCGGTGAACGCGATGGGGTACACGACTAATTGATCACCGGAAGAGCGAGAAACAAGATGTCGACCCGATGCAATGAACTGAAGGCAAGCGTTGGTTATGGGCTGTAGGCGCTGTACACACTGCCGAGCGGCGCAACACTGGGCCGGAACGAAAGGGCGGCGGAAGAGGGCCGAATTTTATCGATGCTTGGCATTTTCGCATCTCGACTTTTTCCTTTCCCTTTAGAGCAACTGCCGACATCGCTTCTTCCTCTTCCCCAGTTCACTTCTACCCTTCCAACCTTTCCCTTCCCTAACCCATTCGGGGCCTTTTTCTTCATATAAACCTCCATCTTTCGGGACCTTGGGTTAATTATAGTCTTGGTGGTTTATCTTCTGTATAGCATGATCTCCGCTACCAAAATGTCCGCCACCGCGCGGGCGGCCACTTTACGGACCTATGTCCCGAGCCTGAAGACTGCTTACAGCCAGCACTCCTTGGTGCAGACTTGCTCCTTTTCGACATCGCCAGCAGTACGGAACATTCCATCTCTGAATCAACAGCGCACAACACTCCCTCACCTTCTCTCTCCCTACGCCGCTCTGCCATTGACCAGGTCCTTCCATGTTGCCACCCCCCTCAGACAGCAACAGCAGCAGCAGCAGCAAGAAAAGGAGAAACAGTCAGAGGAATCGAGCGAGGGAAAGAGTGAAGAACAGAAGGAGGGCGAGAAGAAGGACGCCCCTCCTCCCCCTCCCCATGGCGACAAGACTCCCTGGCAAGTCTTCAGGGAGACTCTCCAAACCGAGTTCAAGGCATCAAAAGAGTGGAATGAGTCGACCAAGGCCCTCGCGTCCTCCGCTCACCAGTTCACTGAGAACGAGAACGTCAAGCGGGCTCGTGCCGCCTACGAAGCTGCCTCTGGGGCCGCGACTTCCAAGACTTCCACCGCGTTGAAGCACACCGGCAAGGCCATCGGCAAGAGCGCTTCCTGGACGTGGAACACGCCCGTGGTGAAGGGTATTAGAAAGGGTGTCAACGCCACTGGTTCCGGAATCGAGAAGGTCACGCGACCTGTTCGCGAAACTGAGGCTTACAAGACTGCCGTTGGAGGCGTGAAGGATGCCATCGATGACGGCAGCAGCTCTCGCTATGGTGGTTGGGTCGAGAAGGAGGAGCGCCGGAAGCAGAGGAAATTGCGCGAAGAGATGGAAGCCAAGTCTGGTCGTCGCAGCGAGCCGATGGTGGAAGATCCCAAGTGAGTCATTTCTCTTGTCATCCATTAACCACCTGCATCTGACATTTATGTTTCTTCAGCGCGGGAACCAACGTCACACTCCACAAGGACGCTGCTTGGAAGGAGTCGTGGCGTGATTTCAAGGACTCGAACCCTATGATGCAGAAGCTCTTCACTCTCAAGAACACCTACGACGAGTCGGAAAACCCTCTCATCACCACTGCGCGCAGCATTTCGGATCGTGTCGCTGGTTTCTTCGCCGAGAACGAGACGGCTCAGGTCATCAAGAAATTCCGCGAGATGGACCCCAATTTCCAGATGGAGTCATTCTTGAGGGAGATGCGTGAATATATCCTGCCCGAGGTCCTCGATGCCTACGTCAAGGGTGATGTCGAAACCCTCAAGCTCTGGCTTTCAGAAGCTCAGTTCAACGTCTATGCTGCACTCGCTCAGCAGTACACTAACCTCGGTCTCAAATCCGATGGTCGTATCCTCGATATCCGTGGAGTTGACGTCTCCCATGCTCGCATGTTGGACCCCGGTGACATTCCCGTGTTCGTTGTGACCTGCCGTACACAGGAGGTCCACGTTTATAAGAACGCGAAGTCTGGTGAACTCGCCGCCGGTATGGAAGACAAGGTTCAGCTGGTTACTTACGCTATCGGTCTCACTCGGATACCTGAGGATGTCAACAACCCGGAGACCCGTGGGTGGAGATTGATCGAGCTGCAGAAGGCTGCTCGTGACTACATTTAAATCACCCTCAACCGGCTCTCTTGACTTAAACCACCCTGCTCCTTTCTCAACAATATCTCCGTTGTTCTGATCATCGGTCCATGAATTTCTTATTTACTCTTCTCGAATGTTTTGATATCATATCCGACTGTACAATATTGACCTTTCTAAATAGAGGCCAGGCGGAACTGGCGCTTCATGAACTGCAACTACCTGTGAATGTAACTTGATTAATCACGCACAAATTCCCCCCTTCCGTTGGCCAATTCGTTTCAGGAAAGATGCTGGCGAGCTTGCTATCTCTGGATTCGGGAGTTGTTGTCTCAGAGAGACCTTGATCGGGCACAAGAGGCCCGGGTTACTTGTTTCTTTTCGGCGTTTCGGGGCGTCCCGTGTTGTGTTTGGCAAAATCCTCCTCCACTCATCTGATGATTATTTTTGCATCTGCGTCAGTACTTAGCTCAGTTCCCCTTACCCTTTACCCAGTTTCAGCTGAAGGACCGCCTCTTCAGGATGAAGATCTTACAGAAGCTCTTTGAGGCCAAACTCGGGGCTTGATGCCTCAACGGCTTGGGCTTACAGATCGAGGCTCGTCGAAGAGTTTGTGAATATAATGTGAAAAAGAATATTACGCTTCTCACTCAGAAGTGTGCGTATCGCTCATCAGTCTCTATTCTCCTTCTCGAGATCAGAAAGGTCCTCAAGCTTGTTACAGAAAAAATGAAGCTAAATGCAGCCAACGAGCTTAGTGAATTTGAAGGAAAATATTCTTTCGCAAGTGATGGAAAATAAAAGTTGCACGGGCGTCAGAAGATGGTTTTAGTCATTACTGGCCTCCCCGTCCAGCACCGCCGCCCATCATGTTCCGGGCCCTGATATCACAAGATTAGTGTCTGTCCACTTTAAGCAATGATAGGGTGAGAACCTACATCTCGGCAATGCTTGGGTCACTCATCAGAGAAGACATATCGGGCATACCACCTCCGCGGCCAAAGTTCTCAGCCATCTGTCTGAGCTGGGGGTTGCTCATGAGGTTGTTGAGCGCATCGGGGTTGCTCATCAGGTTTTGGGCCATGCTGGCGAACATGGGATTGCTCATGATAGAGCTAAGATCGGGCATACCGCCGCGGCCGGCGCCGCCGCCACCACCGCCTCCGAGCATGCTAGCGAGGGAAGAGAGATCGGGCATACCGCCGGCACCGCGAGAGGCGCCAGCGGCATCATCAACGGCGTCAGAGGGGGGCTCCGCACCGCGCTGCGACTCCTCGATCTTTCTCTTGGTGGTCTCCAGACCCCGCTTCATGGCCTCGCTGCCGCCGTTACCCTCAGCCTCGATGCCCTTCTCGTAGGCCTCGAGGGCACCGTGGTAGTCGGCCAGGTCGAAACGAGCCAGACCCAGACGGCTCCAGGCCTTGGAGTACTTGGGGTCGACGGCGGTGGCAAGCTCCGCGTCCTCAACCGCCTTCTCGTGCTGTCCGGCGGCGGAGTAGGCAGCAGCCCGGTTGGAGAGGTAGATGGGGTTCGAGGGGGCGATGGCCAGAGCCTGGGTGTACAAGTCGATCGCACTGCTGTAGTCCTTGCGCGCCATGGCGGCGTTTCCCTCCGACTTCAGCTTGTCGGATTCCGGAGTGGGAGCGCCGCTCTGGGGCTTCCCTTCAGTCGCAGCACCGCCGGCAGCGGGCTTGTTCCGCAGTTTCTCATAGACGCTGTAGATGCTGGCCAGAGACTGTCCACCAAGAGCATCCTTCACAGCCGCCTCGTCGGAGGAGTCAACCTTGAACGTATCCGCGATGCAGGACTGGGCGATCTCGATGGATTCGGCGTCATCGGCACCGAGAGTGCCATCCTTCAAGCTGGCACCTAGGAAGTCGATGATAGCAAGCGCCAAGCGCTTCTTGGACTCTGTAGGAGCCTAGATGATAAGACACGTCAGAAAGTAAGTTGAGAAGGGAGTGTATGTAGTTGAAACACTAAAAGGGGCCCACGTACCATGATGTGAGCAGATTGGGTATCAATGCGAAAGGGGAGGAGATTATCTTGCTGGCCAAAAGAGTCGGCGGGGAGGCGGAATTTAGGATGCGGGGGCCCTTAGTCTTGTTTGGTTTGTTTGCTTCGGGAGCTTACCTGCACGTGATAGCCCCCGTGCTCTCGACTGCCCTCCAGCTCATATTAACTTCCGGTACGACAATCCATCAAATCTACAGCGCAGTCGGGACAATTACTGGAACGGACATGGTCGGCAGATACGGGGGAATCTCTGTCTCGAGTCCGGCAATCTAACGTTCTAGCCTCAACCGAAGATGACTCGATGTGAAGCTGCTCCTCTACCCCGTGACTCTCGCGCCTGCACCGAGCCATGTACTGGCCCTATGGAGTCCCCCGGGTCTATGCGATCAATGGCCCTGGAATACCGGTTCTCACATCTGACGACGACGAATCCCTGAACTACGATAATCCTACGGCACAGGAGGAGGCGCTGAACATTGAAAATGCCCGTGACAAACCGGCCATTGCGGAGACGGCGTGGGCTGACGAGCCTCTTGCCGGCCTTTGTGTCTCTCGCAGTGGTTATATGTTTGCGACAACGACCAGTTCGTCGATCGCTCTCTGGCAAACAAGAGTAAGTGAAGCTTTTGCTGATCTTGCTGGGTAGAGCGTGCATGTTGACGGGTAATATAGCCTACCGCCGTTGTTGCTGCCGTTGCTCGGTCCGCCTCTTCGCTGGAGAACTATGGTCCCAACGTGGCCCTTTTGATGCATCCCGACTCGAATATACTTGTTGCTCAGACGCTGAACGGATATCTTCTTACCTATACCATCGCTGTTAGCCCTAATACCCGTGTATATCAACAGTTCTTTGATCAATCTACCTCGACTTCAACCCGCCGCCAGACGCTCGCTCGGTTAGCCGCGGAGGAAGAGGCCACTGGCGTTCGAGATGTCAGCATACGTTTCCGAATGGCTATCAAGATAGAGTCGGGAATCGCCAAGGCCCTCGCACTTGATAATGAGCTCGTTGTCGCAACTGTCAAACCTGCGGCCATCCAATGCATTCGTTGGAACCCGGATGCGGACGGCTCGCAAACCAAGTCAGAACTTCTTAGTCGGATTCTGGGGGTTTCAAAGCGCACATCAATCACGGACATGGTGTATGATCGTGCTATCAACCTGCTGATATGGGTCACCAACGAGGGACAGGCGTATGCTGTGCAGCGAGCCCCAGAGGACTCGGATGACTCCAGGAAGTTGTTCCAAGGCCATTGCTTCCATGACCCCAAGAATGATGGCGAGAGAGCCGTCAAGGTAGTAGTTAATGCACGATTTTCTCTGCTCACAGTGAGCTGCGCCAACGGAGAGATCCTAGTCTACACAGCCAAGGACTACCTGGGCAATGTTCCTCTATCGCACAAACTACAACTCCCGGCTTCGCCAACCACGACGGGCAGTGTTACATTTATGAGCTATTCGCCAGACGGCTATTGCCTGTTTGCTGGGTATAAGCATGGTTGGACAACATGGAGCGTTTTTGGGAAGTCGGGAGAGAGTAGCTTTGCGGCGGACCGATCTCTTGCTAACTCAAACGGCGAGAACTGGGTGACTGGAACCTCTCATGGTTGTTGGATCGGTGGAGGGTCAGAAATCATACTTACAGGCCAGAACGACCGTCGCTTGTGGATTCTGGAGACAGCACGGAGCGCTTTGACAGGCTGTTATTCGTCTGCGAACCTGGCTAGAGGCCTGCTGCAAACTGGAACCGAGGTTATCCTCTACCGTGGCCATGATCTACCCGATCTTATGACCATTTCGGGGAAGGACTCGCTGTGGCATCATGCTCAATATCCTCCGAGTTACCTTCACTCACAGTGGCCGATTCGCTCTAGTGTTGTCTCACAGGATGGGAGATATGTAGCTATCGCGGGCAGACGAGGGCTTGCACACTACAGCGTCAACAGCGGACGTTGGAAAGTGTTCGAGGATCCCAAGATTGAGAATTCCTTCGCGGTACGCGGGGGCATGTGCTGGTACGGACACATTCTGATCGCCGCCATTGACAATGACGGATCTTACGAGGTAAGTGTGCCATCGATGTCTGATCGCGGCTATACTGATCGACTGCGAAGTTGCGGTTGTACTCGCGGGAAATGCCTCTCAACAATCAATCCATCCTACACATTGAATACCTACCTTCGCCAGTCGTCTTTGTCGGAGCATCAGGCGAGGACTCGCTGCTCGTTTATACATACGACAATATTCTTTATCACTATATCATCAATTCAGCTCACTCCCGAATAACATTGGTGCCCGTTGGGCAGATTGCATTTCATGGGATTGTGCGCGCGCCAACCAGGGTCCGGGCAATCAGTTGGATTTTGCCCGAAGACCAAATGCGTAAGTGTGCCAGCACCTTGCGAGAGCTAGATCTAATAAAAAGCGACCAGGGAACGGCGACCCTTCCCAGGATGTCAAGGTGGCATCTGTACTTCTTTTGGTTGATGGCAACTTGGTCCTGCTACAGCCATCGTTCTCGGAGACTGGCGATTTGAAATACGACATGCGGGTGGTATCCCACGATGTCGAATACTATATCCTGATGCGAGATCAATTATCGTTCAACTTTGCGCCTGTCGACGAGTCCCTCCCGGCCAGTCCATCGGCTGAAATGGCCTTGAATATGTACCGCAGCGACTTTTCGTTGAGGGACTCGCTATGGACGTTTTGTGGGAAAGAGCTCATCGCCTGGGGGGATGTGCAGGACGTTCTACAGCGGGAAGAGGCATCCAAACCCCTGGAGGTACCCCTGGACTTTTATCCGCTGTCTGTTCTCCTGAACAAGGGAATTGTGCTTGGTGTGGAAGCCGAAATGACCCAGCGACGCGATGTCACCTTCTCCGTGCTGAAGTTCGCCATTAGGGTGAGTTTCCACCCAGTGACGCCGGTGCAGCACTAACTCTGCTAGACACACCTCTTCCTGCCGTACTTCCTTCAGCACAGTCTGACACAGCGCGACATGCCTGCAGCGC